CAGATATTGCTCTTGTTTCAATTAAGCGTAATCTTTGCTTACGTGCATAATCTTATTTGGAAATTGTAAATTGTAAAAACGTTCGTTTTGGGGCATATATCCTCCATGCTCCTCCCTTCACTAAATTATTCACCATTATATATAGGGTATATAGCTATTTGTCGGAGCAAAGAGGCGATTACCACAACGAAACGTAYACGTGTTTGATAATTTTTGATGTATAATATTCACTTGCTAAGAAGCAAGGAAAATCTAAAGTGATCGTCATTGAAGATTATGCGCTTGCGCACTTCAAACGAGTTTTGACGTGCTCTGTTAGGCGTTATTTATGGGTAAAGAAACTATTGTATTATATCATTATGAGATAGTCATTTATTTAAAATAACAGTATGGGCAACGTTGGATTATTTAGTCTTATTACGAATAATATTATCGCAATAATCAATGCCCACATTATCTTTCATTATGAGATCCTCATTTATTTAAAATAACAGTATGGGCAACGTTGGATTATTTAGTCTTATTACGAATAATATTATCGCAATAATCAATGCCTATAGGAGCTTTCCGTGGCGCATTCTTCCTATTACTCAACCTATTACGAAATAGCTATATACGGCTAAAAGGTTCGTGCAGTAATGCCCATTAGTAATATCACAATTTTCAGCGAGTAATTAAATCTTCTATTATTTAAAAGTTTGCGTTTCAGATTTACCCCTGTGGTAAAAACCACAGCTTTAGATTTAGCCATTCTGTCTGAATCCCGTCATGATATGACCGTATCACCTTCAGAACTTGAAATAAGTGTTTATCTTCAGTAACACTTTTGCTAACATACATGATTCTTCTAAAATTCTGGTGCGAATTTTTCTATATATATATAAATCGATCCCATTGCTTCTCATTAATTTGCACACCATATACGTTTTAAACTACAATCAAAATGTTATTCATTCTTTTTATTCAAAATGTCTTGCTATCTTCATTTACAATCTAAACCTTGTCAAGTTGATATAGAGTGCCACTCCTTGATTGCGAAAAGGTGCTTAACTATTCGCCTTTTTGTAAGGAGCGGGTATCTCTTAAAAATGCTATTAACGCAAAGGCTTTACGACCTACTCTTGGCACACCTAGAGACGGCTAACAAATTGAACGAGGCTGGAATTCTTTGTGGCTTAACTGAGTTTTTAACCTGTCAACTCTTATAATTATAAAACAGGAAGATGGTTTTCATTTAGTTTTATCTAAAGTAAGTCTAGCCCTCAAACTTAACACTTTTGGTTGTMCTTTGGCCTCGGTCTGCACTATTCTCGAAAGCGCGCTCAAGTTTTGATTAATCAAAAATGCAATGTTCACTAGGAAATACTCTCGAAAGCGGATGGATTTGCGTTTTTTTTTTTCGGACTTTTGATGTAAACACTCATAAAACTATTCAAAAACCTTAATTGGTGTTAATATTTTCTGATTTGCGGGGACAGCGCTAACAGTCTTGAAATCCCTTGTGGCTTTAGAGTGTTGCTAAGTAGAGTTAGGGAAGAGCCAGCGTGTTGTAAGTGTCTTACGTGTGTGGTGTAAGGTGTTCATAAAGATAAATTAAAGGAATCAAAACACGTCTCACCTTATTTCCTGGAATAGTTAGACAGCACACACGACCATAGAAAGAGAAACAAACTACAGCTGAGTCCCATCACTGCGGTAAAGCATGCTATTAAACGGTAAACAACTTGTCAAAACTAAAACACTTTCTAATGCATTATCGTCTCAGATTACACTTTCGAAGCCCGCGATGCTTAATGCTCGCGGTCTACTTACATAGAGTGTCTTGAATTACCAAAGTTGGTTGCTTGACTTCGATTATTTCTTCTTCGGAAAAGTCAGATTCATCTTCCGTCTCGTTTTCGAGAATTCTGCTTGGTAAAGGATAGGTGTAGTACTTTTTAAGCGGCCTGTAGACTGAAAAAAAAACGATAACACTTGGGTTAACTCTCATGCCGTTTATAATCTTGCATTTAAAACATTTTCCTCAAATTCAAACGTAAACGTGCTCTTGCATTAATGTAGACAAAAGCGAGGAGACTAACGAAACATAAGCAATTCAATAATATCAAAAAAAATGAAGATTAACCGTTTTCTGATAGTCTATCAAACTGAGTAATCGAGTCGAGACACTGGGGAAACAATGAATTGTCTTCTTAAGGATTTTCTTTTGTTTTCCTTCTATTCTTTTAAAACCACAATATCAAAAGTGGCTTTTTTAAAAGTCTTTCTAATCTGAACGAAAATCTAGACAGGGTCGTGACAAGAATTATATACAGTACTTTGAAACTGCGAATCTCACTTGTGCCGAGTTCAAGACCAGTGAGATAATGAGCATGGATTATTTTGCAATTGAATTGGCACAACGTTCGACGATACTGGACTCAAGAAAAGCTACTATACCAAGCATAGCAAAACATCTGGTTTGATTTTGATCTTTGCCTTCTCAAGAGTCGTTTTTTACTCGAAAGTTTATCTTTGATACTCAAATTTACATATTCAGCTATGATACATGTCGAACATGTCAAAGTAAGGAAAACTGATCAATTCCAAATCTTTCGTTGCAAAAACTATTTATAAAACCACCTACGGTTATACGAGWTATTTTTATTCTTACTATACTGAGAGGCGGTGTGTTATCCCACCGAGTGAATGGAAAGATAAGCCTGAAATGGAGAGATGAATAATTTTGCGATAAAGCTCTCAAGAAAGGAAAGTTTTAGAAGTTGAGTGTTCATTCAGCGGGTACTTCTTTCATCCATTACACAGGTGTATACGATAACATCTGACTGAATAACCAAGAAAGCCTGCTTAAAATTATACGCATATTCAGTATCCAAATGAAAGTTCGTCGATATCGAGTTTCTACAAAATAGGAAACTCAACAAGAAATCTCGTATTTAGTTAAAATACAGTTTCGAAAGGTCTCGTGCGCCACATCATAGTACTCGGCAACATTGATTTATGGAGTCCCTTGTATACTGAAGCGAACCGTTCTTGCAAAGTCAATAGATCATGCAAAAATACTAAATAAGTGGAATTGAATATCATGAACTAGTTGTACCCACCTCGGTCTGGCATCTTTGGTGTAAGGTTTCGATCGAGTTTGTTTTGGTTTTGCTGTTGTATCGATGGCTGTGATGCAGGTTTCATATCGTTACTCGTGTAGTGATCGTGACTTAGGAAGCAATYATAACAGAAAGGGCCGTGGGTACCTATATTGTGTCAAGGACTCATTCTCAAGACTGACACTCTAATGACGTCACGATTCATGATTTCATATTAAATGGTCCATCAAGGAAGTGGCCTCAATTTCGCAAACATTTTTAACACGATGATACAATTCGCTTCGAATTTCATATCAAGTAACTTAGTGGCAGTTTTAACTTTCGTATATCTTAGAAACAAAAACCTAGAATTATTACAGACGTMGCGCGCTCTTTCGCTTGGCTGATTTGGAAAATTACGCTTTGTGACTGAAATATCTTGCTTTTTGTACCATAGCTTTTATGCAGCGTGAACTTGGCAGCTTTAATTGACGCTCGAACATTCCATCCATACACAACATCTATATTTGGTAAATACCCAGAGAATGGCTAGTACAGAACCTGTGAACAGTTCTTTAATAATATAATAGCCAAGTGTCTACTATCACCTATACGTTCAATTTTACTATTAGTACCGAGAGGTGAAGCGGAACCATAGACGCGCTTTGTGTAACGAATCTGACAACAAGGATCTAAATATTTATGACGTCTTTCCACCTTTTCGTTTATTGATTGCTATTCGTGTCCATTTACAACACACTGCAGAAGCCTTGTCATTTATCATATCAAACCCGAGACCGCTGTAGTTAATGTGGTATCTACATTAGTCATCATTACATTTATATCAATATTATGAAATCGCACAAGCTAAACACGGTCACGAAACTCTGGTAGCATCACATATATAAACACCAACATGATATCATGCTGTATTTTGTACGAGAAGCCAAGACCGCAGCGGTATTGAKTTATCAAAGATGAATACATTACTAAATCCAGTGTACAGTTTCCCTAATTCACCAGTGAGCAGGCTTTAGATATTKACTTATGTGACAAAAAACTCCATATAGAATCTCATTGGTGCCACTCCACTCYTAAACGCTTTGCAAAATTTATGCGCGCTTTGAAAATCGCTCTTAGAGAGAAATGCTTAGCCTCGGYCTGTTTTTCTTTCTTTTTTATGATTCAATTTAAGAGTTAATCAACTGATYTAAAATGATTAAGATCAAACAATAAAGAAATGGAAGGTAATCGGGTAACCAAACTGACATTGTGAAGTTTTGGGGCTCGTTCCGGGAATCACCAGCTATTGAAGGCACTAGGAAGACGGTTGAGGTTTACMMTTATTTCTTCYATGTAAGGTTGCTGCGGAAAATATTTATGGCATATCAGTATGAAATGCAGGAATATAAACATTAAAATGTTTCGTTTAATGAAATTCGCTCGGCCTATATTACATTAAAAGGAAAGGCAAGCAGGGGAAAGAAACATGGCAAAGACCCCATCTATCCCCTCTCAACGTGATAAATGCATAAAGTATACACCTGACAGATATCGGGGAATAATATGTAAAAAAACTAAGTGATAGAAACTGGAAAGAGTTGGACATTTGGCCTATGGCGGCAGGTTCTATATTGTAATACTAGAATYCTATAGCTTGACGATCCATTAAAAAAAATGAAAAAATTCGAATGACCATTGCCAAATGGACATTTTAGAATCGCAATGAACTGTGGGCATTACGCAATATCTATAGATTGTCAATCGCTCATATGAAATTTGTAGTTATCTCAGGCAGTCCAACCATTAATTCAGGAACTTGTAAATATTTTTAATCATACAAATAGTATGTATTTGTGTGTGTGTGTGTGTCTTTAGATTTTTCCTAATATATTCTATTTACATTTTTTTTGTGTTTTTTAGTTTTTTTGTGCGTGTTCGAAACACACATTAAGTGTGTTTTTCTAGAATTTTTTTCCTGATCTATATTATTTACAACTTTTTTTTAAAAAACCCATTAAGTGAGTTTCTCTAGATATTATGTACTTTTTTAATGATACAACTATTTAAAAAAAACGTTGAGTACTTTAATAACAGAGGATTAGTGTATCCAAATAAGGAAATGCATTGTTAGTCGTCGTGTCACCGATATGAAGGGGGTTTTCTCATGTTTCCCAGCGACTATGCCAGCTCTATACCTTCGATGGAAGTCAATGTATATTAGAATTGACATTTTGTAAAAACACCTTACGTCAAACACTCTGCGGTGCAGCATCATGGTTTTAAGTTTTCAACGTTTATGAAATCGCTGTATATCTCACAAAGATCCTCACTTAGTTTCATGTTGTATTTCGTTCTCTTTCCAGAAAAGCGTCCATTGCGTTTGTTTCATCTTTGCGGCGATTCAAACTGCTACAACATTAAAATGGTAGTTGAACGAAATAAGGTTAGAAATAATGAAATCTTATAAGATGTTTGTTCTTAGTAATTCTTACTTTACTCTTGAAAATGGTGTCTGGTGGCACCGAAACGTCGAGTCTTGTCGTAATAAATATATAGTAAAAATAATGAATTGTGATTGAAATTGGCTCCTTATCGTTGTTTTATCCGGGCGAAGCATGGGTGCTAATGGCTCGATGTTGCGCTCAAATTAGTGCTGCGCGTTGAGCATGCTTGAAATCTAAGCTGCAACTTCGCGGAGATTTTCGCAACTTCGCGGAGATTTTCGCAACAATCGCATGGCTGTTTGCACCTACAATTTGAGTTGCGCGACAGCAAAGTGGCCATTGACGCGCGACAATCGCGCTGCAAAAATCGCAAGTGTAAACGGGCCTTAAGAGATCATCCAACGTTTGAGTCTTAGCATAATCATTTGAGAAATCGCACCTCACTGGTAGAAAGAAAATCCTCTGATTTTCAGAGAATGTCCATGCAGGATATACATTCAAAATAAACCGAACAATTCTTTTTAGCAAACACTATATTTTATTTCTTTTTTTCATGTTTATATTMGATAACTCTTTTAAAAATGTACATTATATTTTAGAATTTGTTTGAATWTTTGGGCCCGGCCTACATTTCACATGTCAYATTTCTTTTATAATCGCCTAYATGTKGCATTTGGAGTAGTGGGATGTTGCATTTGATTTGACGAAATTAAATCGACATCGTCCCGCGCTAAGTCATCTCAATGTCTTGATCTACGCATGTCKTTCCTCGAAATTACCGATTGTACTTGGACATTTGTACTTARGTTACCACCATCGAACATGATATTTGTATRATATTCGACACATGTGAAATGACTATGAAATAACTCCAGCCGAATCGCTGCCATACATTTGACTGAAATCGCATTTGATTCAAAACTCTAGAATATATTTCTTCCATACGACATATTTCACGTCGGTATATAATTCGTAAATTGTATYCGATCCACGTGWAATACACCATATGAAMTTTCAAACYCCGCATCTCYCATGTGCCGAATTTTATYCAAATGAYATGATAATGAGAAGATTCTGCATATMTGAGATTGAGCCACAACCAGGCGTTAGAGGGACCTCTTCGTGTCTTTTCGAAAATACGGCTCTTCAGTACTTGTGCTATGTTCTTATAAAGTAAAGATATTTCAACATCAGTTCTTCTTCCATACTTTAAGTACAAATGATCKCAYTTTATGGTGTCCAGSTAGACAGTGGRTACAGAATTCTGAGCGTTACTGATAGTTTTTAGTGTTAAAACACTCTGTCAATTCTCTCAACGTTAGCTGCGTCCCTTCTCTTRAGCATAACCAKAGCYATACACCGATTTAAAARMATGTKAATGGGAACAATTAAGTGCGCCTCACTAAARTGATGTGGAATTATTAGCCTTGGCAGTATTGAATGCTGCAAATTAACTCAAACTTAGATGTGGAACATATTGAAATTAAAAGAAAATATTGAAGTTCAATYAGCATGAATATGCGTTAGCTCTATACCATTTCGAAAATCCCATATTTCGGTCACTCATCTCATTCGGTTGTAGGTTGAAAAATTTGAACATTTTACTCTAGAGCCCATTCCCGCGTTAAACCCAGTTATGGAAAACGCTATTTTTAAAATCCACTTAGAATATTACAAAGCCCGACACCTTGGCTATTGTCGGTGGTCATTGCAATCGATACTCTTTCGTAAGACATCGTTCCTGTCGATATGCATTGTCGTTGACGTTCTTGAATCGTCATATATAAGCAGTCGACCCATTATTGTACTGCAATATCGATCGATACATTGTCGGTGTACAGTTTTTGGTGAATGAATTATCGGCATGCAATCGATGGATTTTATTGGTAATCACTCAATTCATCGGTAAGAGGTTTTAAAAGTGTTCCGCGAAGCATAAGAATCAACAAGGCAATAAGTTCAAGTCATATTCTGAACAATATGATCCTGCAGTTGAATTCACTAATCAGAGATCTTCTCATCAATCAGTGTCTAACCACAATAATATCATTGATATTTTCATTTTTCCGTTCCGATAATMCCCGTACTGTCATCGTACAGTGCTCGGTTCCTTCCTGGCTACTTTCGGTAACCGGCCAGTCTCCCTGATACAAGCCCATACTTTCTTGGTACACCCATTTCTACTGATTCTCATTTAATCATGACCATGTACAAAATTATCAATTGAAAAGTAGGAGCCTGAAAATAAAAAAAAGGGATTTATTAATAGTGAGACAAGTTCGTTTACRTCGCGATACAGAAAACAGACGGGAAGGGTTCTACACTTTTCATGACCGGGCGATTTGGGCTCATTTCCTCGTCGCCAATGTTGTGACCGGTGGTTTACGTGTAGTACATTACTAATATAAGATCTAGCATTCTTTAGGTCGTCGTCCGCCATTTTATTTTTTTACGCAACAACACAAAGACCATGTGCTTGGCCGTMAGGCCCTAGTACTAGRATAAATTACATTAATTATTGATAACACAGACCGGCTTTTGATAAGTTCATGAACGCCTTCATACTATATGGATTTTGAATACTAAACGAGTATAGGTTTAAAGGTGCTTATTTCTAGCCCAGAGGAAGTCAAATAGCACCTACCTACCCCTACCCCTCAAAGAATTTCCCAAAGAAATATCCAAAGAGCCCTACATCTCCCCCTTCATCACCCCCACAGTTTTAAAACGTACGAGCTACAAAGTTACCAACCTTTATATTCTGGAGACATTGGAAAGCAGACATGACCATGCAAATAGAAACAGACTACAACCTAACCCCATGACAGCGGTGAAGCATGCTGAAAAATATAACAATAAAAATCAATAAATCATAAAGTATTTCCAGCTAATGATGTTTTAACATTAAAATTAAAAATCAAATTAAAATTGATTGTAATTTAATAGAATTTCATAGACAAAGGCACATTTTGTGTAGAAGCTAATATTTATTCATCAGTATCAATGATATAGAAGAGTCAATTTCAGTTTATACAGTGATGCTGCATATCATTATTGGATCTTAGTGGTGAAGACATCACGGTAGCGAGCCCCTCCTAGGGGTTAAAGGTGGCAGGAGAGCACATACATTAACCTTTAAAGATATAGGGACATATTAGAAATATTTTCAGGAACACGGCTTTTTGGGGAACATGTACTGAAAACGTTTTGGGACCTCGCAGATATATGCCGTTTAGGGAAAAACTGAAACTGTAAAAACATAAAAAAGGAAAGGGAGACCCCCATTGCCAAACAAAGCCAAAACAACTGCAAAAAAGTAAGGGTGGGCTTTCACCTCTAAGAAGATGTGATGCAAAAGGCTCGTTCAAAACAAAAGAAGAAACTAAAGGACAATTCAGAGAATTCGTTCCGAGTGAGGTGAATACATACTCAAAATTAAGAGAAAAGCAGGAATATTATTATTCGCTGGAGTTATTATTCGCTTTGAAAAATACACCCTCTCGTTGCTTTTGACTTTTTAAAAAAAATACGGCGTCGAGTGTCTCAGATATTACAAAGAATTCATGGCCATTGTCCTAGCTTCCATTTATAAAATGTGAAATTAAAAACAACTTCGCAAAACAGTATAGGCGAAGTGCGATCTGGCAGATTTCAAAAAGGCTAAAGATAAAGGATTATGAATTATATATACGGTTTCAATTTCTCCGTCTCGGTTAAAAAAGGATTACACCTTGATCGGTTTTCTCCTGGCGCGTTTTTTAGTGATACTAWTATAAACGGAGATATCACTACTCAGGATTTCCAATAAAGCTCTTCCAGTCATGCAAAGCTAGGCAATATTGCTTTCAAGCAATTAACCTATAACGTAAATGTTCTTAGAGTAAAGTGAACGATCTAAAGCCATTAAACAAAGTATTGACGCGACAATCTACAGAATCTACAATGGGGTAGAAAAGACTGGAACTGAAAGAAATGAAGTAGGGCATACCTTATCGGCAGTTTTTYGCAATAAGGACTAAAAAGTGATCGACTAGGGGCTTTTCTCACGATGGTTATATTAGTTACAATTGAGAAATAACTGATTAAAGGCGTTTAATGGCCTGAATCACTGAAAAGCTCACTTTCGCAGAAGCAATTAAGAAAACGAAAAAAGCGTTTCATTAGTGTTGATTTTAATCATAGCGATATTGTAGTAATTACCGTAGTACATTGTTTGGTGCAGTTGTAGTTTTGTATGTATTTATTATTTTTATTGTTTCTTGCATTGCTATTATCATCATAGCTGTTCGCATTAATTTTAGCATAAATATTACAATATTATTATGAATATTGTTATTGTAATTATTTTATAAGTAACATTCAGATCATTGAAATTATCCTAGCTTCATTTAGATGGATAATTAAAGAAGTAAGACTCAATGTCGTTTTCCCCGAGTGACGTAAGCGTGATGCATCATGGGACTAACAAGAATCCATATTATTATGTTTTAACTGTGTTCCAGAGCCTTAATGCGAACAACAAGTTTTACTTATTACAAAGACAGATCATTTGGCACTTACTCTAGTGTACAGGCATCTTACTTAATATTCTTTCCATGCATTCTCAAAGATAACGTTAATTTTTCGCAAAGAAACATAGACCTATTTTTATAACGCATCCGCCATCTCATGATTATTTTAGGAATACAGTGATGTACTTCGCCAAACCAAACATGGCGTTATCAATAGAAAAGACCAATCTAGAATCATTCAGTACACATCAAAGCTGAGACAAAAAGGCTATGAAGTACGGTGATTAAATTCAAATTAAAAGCCTTAACATTAATAATGACTTCACTTTACTTTTAGCAAAGTAACCTGAATTACACTCATAAATAATTTTCATCTAAATGGCGCTATAATCAATAAATAGTATTTAATTTCCCATGTATTCTTTCTGTCTTAGCTTCTTTGTTCGCGCACAGTAAATATTATTCAATAGCCCAGTTTCGAATTCTCCGATGCTCTGTGTTAGCCTCATTTGTGCGCAAAATGTGAGAATGAGATTTCAAATCAATTTTATTGTCTTTCTTCGCAAATTCCACGCGTTTTCTCGGGCTATCAATAAGACAAAAGAATATGTTACTTGGTTTTGAGGCTAACACAAAGCAAACTAGAACTCGAAATTGGAGTATTGAGTGAAAAGTTGATATGAATATTAATACATTGAAAACAGGGTCGTGTCATCAACACCTCAAAGGTGCGAGCGGCAAGCTACTTCCTCAATTTTCAATCTTTTGTACCCTTTGCTCAAACTTCCACCAAAATTCACCGCAGCTATCGCAGATATTTCACGCGCTATACTGCTGTGTACATCTCGTCATTTTCCACCATGTTTTAACTTTTTCTCGAAGTAAACGCGTTACAAATTACTATTGATTTATACATAGCGAAGAAACGAACATTAATATGACTTTGTTGTGTCTTGAATTGAAGCCTCACTCTAGGCCACATTTGTTCGTTCAATTAGTTTTTTTTAACTCTAAAAAAGATTGTTTACATGATATCAAACTGAGACAAACATAGATGACCGGCAAGAAACATCACAGGTTCATTGTTTTCGTCCCAGTTTCTTATATCTTAAAATTTGCAACGTAAAGAAAAACTTGAATTATTGCAATCAGTTTTTAAGAATAGAAAAAAAAACTGTGTTATATACTTACTCTCAACTTCTTGTTAATTTTTGTTATTTTTGTTTCTATAGTTACCAACTAGTATGTTCTTGTAATAAAACATTAATGCTTAAGAGCTTTAATTAGGACCCTAGATTGAAATCTAAGGCATTATTAATCACTGATTCTCTTAGATCATAAAGGTTAGCTTTCAAATTTGCTGTAATAGGAATCTTTGATATCAAAGGCATTAAGTGAAATTATAAACCGCTAAGATTTTAAAAGAGTTTTTCGTGCCGCGAAACTATTGCTAGTGGTCTTACTTGGTGCCCTCAGTACTTCTTTGTTTTGCTCCTTTGATTTGTGCGCACAATGAAACACAATTCTGTTCGTTATGGACACCCTGCTATCACAGAGATTCCGGTATCAGAAGTGGTTTCAATGGCGAAAATTGAATCCCCTAAGTGCTTAGAATGAGCAAAACAGAAATATACATATATATATTTCCCAAAATAATCGTCATCAGTTTCCTGGCTTTTGTTATCATTCACAAAGTTCAAATCTTCATTTACTTGATGATGAAAAAAAGTGGAGTAAAATTAGAGGATGCTTGTGAGCATGCGCGTTTGCTACTTACATAAAGTGTCCTCCACGGGGACAGGCTTGTTTCCAGGCTCCTCGATGATATCCTCGTCCACAAATCGGCTTTGCTCGATTTGTATTGATGGCGGGAAAATAGGTCTTGGCGTGCATGGGAGACTGAACGTGCGTTTAGAACGCTGGTACAGAAATGATGGCTGCATAGTGAAAACTTTGAGCGAATGACTTCTTGTTGAACGGAGTTTATCTTTGGGGACTGGGCTCAGTAGAGTGGAATCCTGGGAAGCCATGGCCATTCTGGATAGCTCGACTGGATCGGACTAAAAAAAAAAAGGGAAAAAACTTTAAAAAAATGACAGACAATTATCAATAATTGTCTGACATAGACTACCGCGCACAATTAATTGCTGAGTACAAGAGCCGTTAGCGCTGTTTCGTGCCGTGTTTTCTAAGTGATTTCCCACGGTGTAGTAGACAGTGCTTAGGAAATGAAAACAGCCTGCTACGTTTGGTCATTTTCAGAGAATCYTTCGACGCAAAGTACCTTTTTGTGTTAATTTAGTGTGACATGTAAAAACGAAGGCCATGGAGGAAAGAACTATTTTACGGGCAAAATGGCGATAGTTTGCTCTTTAAATAGGTGGCCGTCGAAATCTCTGAAATTTCTTATTTAACACTTCATTTGCACAAACTAATCGAAAATACTTTGAAAGGGCTATATAATCCATAAAGAGCGACCAAATCCGATTATTAGAAATATTGCACATTTCTATCGATGACACTAAAATCAAACTTTAATAGTTTGCAAGTGTCTTATTACCCCTTTGAAGGTTGACGTTGGATAGAATCAATACTCGCTTGACCGCAGTATCTTTAGTCAATTGAAGTGGACAAGGACTTTCTGTCTTAAGATATATGTACATAGGCTTTTCATCCATAATATGGTCGATATTATGCGACAATCTATCAATCATTGAAGACGTCTTACTTATTGTTGATTTTTCGCAATTGGATAGGCGTTATTTATAATAGCAAACACACAATATATTGCATCGGAATAGAATTAAAAATCTCGAAATATTATATCTTAWAAAACTCAAGAAGATTAACAAGAAAAACACATAAATCAATGTTCTTTTTTGGATATTATKTTTTGGATGTTTTGCGAAAGTTGTTCCACTGTGGCACCACATCGGGTGAATCGTCAAACATACCGTCTCACCTTTGTTTTGGAGGAAGCGAATCTGTGTCTTAGATCTCCGCTCTCAACTCCTCGCGTCTTATTGGATTCATTGCTAAACACAGGTCTCCCTTCAGTTACACTCAATCTGAACCTGCGACTTGCTTCGTCCATGATTGCTCGCGAGATGAAAAGGAAAGCTAAAGGCTTCTCTAGTGTTCGCTGCGTCTGATTTCTAAAATACAGAGAGTCAACTGTTCTCGATTGAAGAGCGTTGCCTGGAGAATCACCTCGGCCAAGACACCTGGCACATTGGACGTTCAGTTGTGTCCTTAAGGCTTATCCAAGAGAAGTGCGTGGGTAGACTTAACAAATACAAACACACAGGCTGATTTCATATTCGTGTCCCAAAACCCTTGACAATAACAACTTTTCGATGAGTTTTTATCTTGAATTGTCAAAAGTCGAAATGAAATCTGGCAGATGAATGACCATAAAGCTGACGTATACGGCTTTGGCGTTGAATGTATCGGTCGAACGTGATTTCTTGGAGAMTGCATCTTTATTTCTTCCCCGTTTTATATGTTTTAATTTTGAAGATTTTTTTTATTTGTTTCCAAGGGACGAATTTTTATATTTGATTGTAATTAACAACTACTAGTCAAAATATTCGATAATACTATGAGAGAATAATGATATTTGTTACAACATCACGATCATCATCAACAACAATAATGATCTAATGTATCGTGAATAATAAACAAATAAAAGAGATTGTACAACAATCAAACACTTCGATATTATCTTTATATTCATAGAGTTCTTTAAGCCTCAGTGGAGTTAACCGGCGTTTAAATTTTGAACTTTGTCAAATTAAAGGACTAGCTTAGAAGTGTAACCTAACCAATATATTGATAAGCTTGCGGTCAGAATTTAATCAAATAATTGTAATAAAAGCAATCACAATAACAAATCAATACATTATTTACAAATTATTCACGTCGGGAAATTATTCATTTAGTTTTACGCTTGAGTAATGAGACATATTTCCATTTATTCAGATAATCAAATATTTTTTCCGGTCATCTCGCTGTGACTGTAAGATTCWGTAGAATAGTAATATGTTTTTGCATGTCCATCATGTGCTCATTTTATGATACCTGAACCGATAGACTTTGAGTTACCTTATAAAACTAATTGAAAAATCGGGTTCCTAAAAGGTTCCATCATGAAAGCTTAGACCGCAAGGCAGCATGGGAAAGAAAATATTACGAGTATAACAGTGTTTAAGGTATCTGGATACAGTTGTTTAGAACACCGACCGGGACGAAAGAAACGGGTCAAAAGGTAATTTAAGCTGGTCAGATCGTAATAATATTTTACTACATGATTAACAAGGGATTCAAATTCATATTGAGTAAATTTTTGGAAAATCGGATTTAATTTATGCGTTTTATGGGGAAATCCTGGATAACGCTTTTACAGCTATTTCAAACAAATTAAGCCTATTTTTTCCGCGATATCTCAGGGACATAATATTATTATAGAGGTATTGCCTAAGTATTACCAAAGTTTGCACTGAGTAAAATGACCTTCTCTTCGATTATGCTATAGTTAAACATGTTTAGGTAAATTTTATTTGAATTTCTGTGTCTTTCCGGAACCTTCCTCGGTATTAGCTTTGATAATTCACTTTTTTGCGACGCGACGAGGTTAATTCAATGAGGTTTATAGATGCCATAACCAGTGCTACATGTTTTTTGCGTTTTCGTCAATAACGACACATTTGTACCCTGACACAAGATAAACTGGCGAGCTAAGCGCAGTGGAGTTTGGACGTCCAACTCAAAGTCGTACGACTTTTCAGGGAAGAATTCAAATTGGTTCGTAGGTCAGCCAAGTCAAAAGTTGGATATAATAACATATAATGCAAGATAAAATGTTTTAAGCCTCTCTTGAGTTTAGTCCCCTATCAGTTGTGTTTTGAACCATATCTTAATATTGATGAGAATCATCGGGTCGAAATCGTCTTACAGTGTAACTTTAGTTCATMGTATTTAAATATATTTTGTCCAATTTTTTTGATTATTGTTATCATTCATTAATTTTATGATCATGATGATGTTGATGATGATGAATGGAGAGCTCATATCGAAATCTTCAAAAATGTAATTGCTAGACCATGTTATTTAACGAAAGCAAACCTCATTAAGAAGCACTTTAAAGTGACTGGGGAGCTATGAGGGTTTATTTTGTGTTTTTGTTCAATGGGTCAGTGTGATCGGCAAATGAAAGGCACTACTAAAACACCAAACAGGAAAGGTTTCAAGTACGATTGAATTAAGAAGTTCCATTCAGTTCTGATCTAAAAATAGTATCGGAAACTTTGCCATGGCAACGAAATAGCTACCCGGATGTCAGCCGCCAGATCTTTACGTCGATCTTTTATTTTTTTGAGACAAAAAAATAATTTAAAAAACGATCTTCTGGAAACTGGAATTCAAACAAATGTACAAATCTCGAATTAAGATTGCTAAGTTATCAAAAAAGCGAATTATTTATTGTTGCGTATTAAGATGTCATTCCTAAAAGCTCGTTACATTTAGCCGCTCTAGATTTTATATTACGGCGTAAATTACATAAGATAATCCATGCATTGAAGCCATTTTCTATATACGTAATTAGATATATCTCAAAGGATGGGAAAATCTCATTAGAATTAATTTTCAAGTGCCGAGGGAAACTTCGCTACCACGGACGAGAAGAGTTGACGAAAACGCATGTAGTTGAAATTTGATGGAAATGAACAACGCCCCATGTTTAAGAAACAAAAGAAAGACTGTACGAAATAACACATAGGTATGTAATATTTCTTACCATGCTCAGAGACGGCAGCTTTCAAGCAGGAAATGGTGTCAAAATGTATTGAATATTTCACAGGCCGCAGATTGCAGCTGCGAGGTTAATTTTAAATCAAGATCTTTAAAAGATTAAAACCAATCAGACGGCGATGTTTCTGATGACCGAGTCATTTTTGGAGAGAATTAACACCAGTGTAAACACAYGYCATTATCASAGATTAAACGATTGCTKCACATCCTATGTTCCTAGCTCGATTGAYATTTCTCCCCTGCTACTAAAGAGTAATCGTCCGAATCACTAACCATAGAGGCCGGGACGATCGCCAATGAAAACGTTTTAAAAATGTTCACACGGCTTCACACTCGTGATAGCKATCATTGTCTGAATCTTCCCCATCGTTTTCTGACGATTGTGCGATTGTCGCGATTCAGTTGCTTCAGGCGTGGTGGCGTCTATTTACAATCATCCGAATCGTCAAACTTGCCAAAAAACATCGTGTTTTTGCAGTAGAAGCATAGGTAATTACATGGACCAAAAGCCTTGTTTAGAACCAGCCTTAAACGGCAATTCATTTAAATAACTTAAAGATAACTAAACCCAGTTATACGTTTCTTAAACGTTGTAAAAACGAGCTAGATTTTAACAATGAACCGTGTTAATTGATAGTTGTATGTTCATTATTGAAGATCATTTACTGGATTTATTATTTGTTCTAGTCACCGCAGATCTTCATATTCAACCATTTCTCATGTATCTTTTATGTCATGCATCCAATGATCCAGGATGCAGTCTTGTATTATCCCCAGGCTATTAGCACCCCAATTATTCAAATTGAGACTGGAAACGAATTAAGAAATATGGGATTCAACTGAATACCAAACATCGCCATGGGCAATATAATACTACAATTTGTGATATCATATAATGGTTCTGAGTTTGAATACGTGTGTTCCTTAATCCAAAAGATTATGTCAGTGCTACTGTTCAAAGAGCTAGCCTATTAAGTGTTCAATATAATATGGACTCCAACTCATTTGAGCTAGTATGCTGCCGTGTTCAGTTTTTCAGTTGGACATTGAATTCATTTAAAATATCGACTGTCTCAGTTTCATTCGTCTTTGAATTTGAAGGACTATTTCTAGAGGCAGACTGATTGAGTTCGACAGAATAAACTCGCGTTGTGACTCGGTATAAAGGTCCAAAATGCGTCGGCCCGTCGCATAAACGTAAAACATATATCCCCATCGCTGTTCTTTTCCCGTCATATTTATTGTTATATTAATTCTTGGAGCAAAATTGACAAAGCCATATCCTTGCTTAGACATAGGTTTATAACACTTTATAGATTGCCATTATCGGTGGCTGCATATCTCGATGYAAGAAAACAGGTTTTCAATCGGCTTCGCAACCATTCGAATTCGACAGATATTCGGAAAGAGCAGTATCGTGAATGCAATCTTCATTATTACAATGGACCGGTATACCACTCAAAATAATGCACACTTAAATGAGTATTCAGTGGTGAAAACATACCTTCGTGAAAACATACTTTTGCGTGTGTAGTTCTTCTTTGTTGGACGTTTGCCTAATTGCTACTTTTTACAGCCTTAAAAATTAAGCCTTAAGCGAATTAAATTGACTTTGCATTTATAAACTTCTATTACCCTCGTAAAAATGAACACTAAATAACGGAACGCGCTTTGGCAGAATAATATAACATTTTGTATAACAGAGAGCAAGGTTTACATGTCTGGTWAACTTTCTATTTATATCCAGAGTTAAAAATAGTAGATAATCTACATGGTGTAAATAAACTGCAAATGGACTATAACAAAACGTTGATTACAGACTAGCCACTGATACGCATTAAATGACATGTTAATGAGGTGTTATAAATGAGTATACAATTAGCAGTAGAGTGTAAAAACATTAGTAAAATAATCGAAAATACACTAAGCTGCGGCATTATCGAAACGGAGTGCCTTTGCGCATGACACATTTTATTTCCAAGGGTCTTTCTCCCGGAATAACCTCCTTCTAAGCACTATTCCTTTCCTATATTTCTATAGCATGACAGAAAATTAATTGCCAACCGAAAAAAACTCTAGAAAACGAGGCATTAAACTACTGTGAAGWCGAAAGAGAAAGTCGATTGATATCATATACAATAGTTGGCATAGAAAGTTATTATTAGAAAAAGCTTCCAATATCAGGTCATGTATTGGAAAATATATAACAACGCTCAGGTTTTTATCATCATACAATATCGATTCAAGTGAGGAGGGGGAAGTAACAAGTGCTAGTCATCAAAAACCAAAAAACCCCTGAGCATTGCTTGTTGTAAAAATAGGTTTGCTATCTTGTCTAAATAAGTATACTTATATAATAGATCCGTTTCGCATTAAATTTGGGACAYGAGGCTGCGTTAACACCATGGTCATCCAGCATTCATTGCGGTCATCTTTAAAATTTTTCAAATGTAGAAAATTGGTGACTGAAAATGTCTGTTCACAATCCGTTTCCATCCATCGGTTTTAAGGTCAAATCTTACAATATCTCAGGGATAATAAAGAGTAAGTTTTTCTATAGACCCCTTGTAGTTTATGGGAATGTATCTTCAACTAGAGGACAAAACAATGGATTTTTGTTCCCAATAGTGCAGAAATGTCTTGTTTTGTCCTTCAGATGATGGTGCTTTGACGTCACATTCAAGGGTTCTATATTTATTTTCACACATAAACAAAAGCTCGAAGGGCATGCCGGTCAACCATGGTACTTTGAACTGCATATCCGACTTATGTTCGTTAGCACGAAAACAATCAGCGTTTTCAAAAGACACCGGGATACGGGCCTCGTTTTCTGTGGTTTCTTGTAGAAGATAGGCCTAAATGCTTGAAAACATTTACTGTTTCGCAAATGATCCGGATACGTGTGTAAGTTACCTTAATCGGGCCCTAAAGCCCCGGTAAAACTAAATACATTAGACTAACCAACATCATCATCCAACATTTTACTCTGATTGGTCACCATATTGGATGCTTATTGTCAAACATATTATGTTTTCCTCGTTTGACGTGCTTTAGTTGAACCGCCATTTTAAACCCACGAATTTTAATTTAAACTCTACTTGGTAAATTTTGAAGTAAAATGATAATACATGTACTTCATTAATCTTATTATGCTAATTTACTGATACAATAGACGTTAGAAATAAGATGGTACAACTTTTGTTTTCAACCATTGTATTCGACCATTGTATTCAACCATTGTATTCGACCTGCATAAGTCGTCCTTACAACATAGCTATAATTTAACTGTCGTAGGCTTAGAGTGGTTTTCATAAACCCGTGAAACAAAGTGTAATAATTAGAGTGTAATAGATCGTAATAGTCGCGTAGAGACAATAAAAAACAAAAGAGCCAAAGTGAAAGCGATAAATACGCTAAAGTGTGTTTCACGGGTTAATGAAAACCACTCTACAATAATTGCTTAATAGCCCTACGACATCTGTAACCATGTTTCATGCGATGGTTGTAAGCAAAAGTTGTGCCGTCTAATTCGGCCAGTTTAGGGTTACCCAAATCGACTTTTGTAGATAAAGTAAAAGAAGAAGTATAAGAACCTACCATTAAATTTGATTTAACTTCTCTTCTAAGASTATCAACGAGGTCGCATTAGGGTTTTGGTGAGTCTTATGTAATAGGGTATAGACCCACACAACATTAATGTAGTTTTTTATAGAAACTTGTTCCATGCATGAACTAAAATAGATATAGTGTTTTGCATATAAATTGAAGTCGACATTTTAATTTTGTTTAGACTAAAAGTGAAATTGTTCATGATAGGAACTAACATGGTCGACTATACAACTGTACATCCGGAAATGAAACTTCTCAAAACATACTATTAGGAACTCTAAGTTTTTCCAAATTAATATGTAAGCATCGGCGGATAGTTTTTTAACAGTTTGCGATCTCTGTCGGCGTGAAAATTCTTATCAAAACACAAAGACAAATAATGCGGAGTTTGTACAATTTCCTCAACTCGGCTTTKCTTTATAAATGAAGTTTGACTTCCTGCAGTTTGAAAARCTAAAACGTACGCAATTCGATTGTTGTTGGAAAATCGCCCTCGCYAAAATGCAAACAAAGAAGTGTCGTCTCAGGGTGTTGAMAAGGAAAAATTTCTATCAGGAAAAAATCTAAAAAAAGAATCAGATAATTAGATTTTTGTACAACTACGTTGGCTTTAAATTACTTGGTGTTTGATAACTTAGAGTTTTTCTTAATAATTTATCATGAGATTGAATAATTTTTCCTTACGAATCCGGTGGTGATTACGATAACAAAGCGGGCGACCGACTTGATGCTTTAATTCTAAATATAAACTGAAGCAAAAATGTAATTTCTAGTTACTTAAAGAGTTTTCAGTGTAGAGCTTCGTTTTCTTTGGTAGGGATTAATTTTCTTTTTGTTTTCTTGTCAACACTGAGGAGAATTTTTTCGACAGGATATATCTATATTCAATTCTTTGAAGATAGACATAATATCATCCTCGAAAACTAAAGAGAATGGCAAATAAAAGAACCTTCTTTGTTAATCGTTGGTTGAGGAATAATAAAACGAGCTTTTCGCCGTTTTGATTAAAAATTACTTTCATTATATTAAGAAAACGAGTCATTAAGGGACAGCAAAAAGAAAAAAAATGATAATTACAGCAAAATGAGTCTGAATTTCAGTTTAACTGGCTTAAGAAGCTGGGCAAACAAAGCACATCTTGATTTAAAGAGATAAATATGGAGAATCCTTTGCGGAGACAACGAATTGAATGACTCTTAACGTATGAAATTCAGCGTCTTTCTTCTTGAAATTAAACCTTTTGAAAATGCCACCTGATTCGCTCGAATTAAGCAATTTTCATCTGGCTATCAAACTAGAAAAACTACGATTATACATCTACAACACACCGATAAACAATCTAAATTTATGTAATTAAAAAAGACTTATGTAGGAATAATATCGAGGAAAAAATTAATATAAAAAAGAAAACCCTTCAAGTTGGCAGCTTTTCCGCTCTTGTAAATTCTTAATTGATATTTTGTTACATTAATAGGTAAAATGTTCCCAAATATATATTTATATATATATATAAATTGAATAAATTGAAGAAAAAGGCACGCAACTTGCAACTATTATTCCTACTCTTTATTTGTATATATATATAAATTTATATATTTCTCATAGGTTTTCAATATCAAATAGGCCAAAACTTACCTTCAAGAACAACTGGACTTATTCTAAGACTTCTGACGGACTGACTGCCATCTARAGAGCTTTAGGTTGGAATGTGTAACTGATAACTCCCCAACGAATAAAAGTAAAGGTCTATTGAAATTCGAAGAGCTTTCAGATTAATCTGTCTTTACAGTAATGGATTAAGGCTTAGTTGAAAAATCAGAAACGGATTACGAAATCTGGTTTTGTGTTTTGATGTCTTTTTGACATCGCTGGCTTTTCAGCGGATCTGAAAGTAAACACTAACTAATTAGCAAAATTTTTCRTGTTTTCAAAAAGCTTTTCCCGTTTGGAAGAGAGGAAATTTGAGAGGAAGCGATGAAAGGCTTTGGCAATTAATATYCCTCGATGGTTTACCCCTTTCCAGGGAGTGTAATATTAATGTTAATTGGACGACGAGTATGTTTTTAACCATATGTATTTCAATATAATAACCAACCCCACAMTCAAAAGGATCGRTAGGTCAGCGTCCTGCTGCTGTCTATCAAAAATAATGTTACATCAAGTGCACTTACGAGGAAACGAAACAAAAATATAAACGTGAATGGCCGGAAAGGAACTAAGCGAGCAAGGAAGCATGTAAATAAGAAAAAGAATACCTCGAAGAAATCGAATTATTGATCAGATTTGCCCTACAGTAAAAATTTATCCATAAATTGCATGCAAGTTTTGTTCGCTGAATTTCATATATTCGTTTCATTCATTTATTTAGTGGGAAATATCCTGTAAAATGTTTTATAAGATATAATGTTTATATTGCGCGCCAGATTTCTTTTAGCACCGCTTTATTATAATGTGTAGTGGGTACTTGTAATTTTGATAAACTGAAACTTAAACCTTTTCGGCGTCGACATTCGCGAAGTTTTCTTAGCAATTCAAACAGTACTTGTAAATTAAATGTATAACTGAACAAAATCAGCCAACAACCATATATTTAACCGAATGAATCAAACCAGAATTCATAATGTCGCCATATAAGTGCAAATTGGAATGAAATTGAAAAAAATATCAGTCGAAGCTATCAAGTGCCGAGTTATATGAAGTAGTGTCATATCATCTATAAGTAGCATTCATCAATTCGACAAGGACATGAACATGTGCTCCATGTTTTCAACGGATTGAAAACAAACGGAGATGACCTCAAAGGGCGATACAAGGGTTTGTAGGCGATAGACAGGGAATCGTAATCTRTAGGTGGAGGYCATTCATACGTATACAGACATTAACATAAGACTTGACAACGACTATTTTAAAACTTAAAATATATAATTTAATGGTGTAATGTTCGCCTATTGAATTTTGCATTGCTTTTGGCGGTAGTGARAACTTTTGCGGCGCGCTGAAGATKATCAAAACAGGATGAAAGCTATTTCACCGCTTTTTGCCCGGTTTCTATTGTCGGAATATAGCAATAAAATTCTACAAACTACTTGATTTCAGTAATAAAAGCCTCCGGCAACGTAACTGACTCATTTATTGTTGGTGACAMTCTGTGTGAAGAAAACGATTTGCACGGGTTAAAAACGCCGTAGGGTCTACGTAAATCTAGCACGTAAAACAGAATACGCTGCGAGACAAGCACACACCGTACGTAACCGGCACAAAACGTTGCAAATCAWGCTGAAATATTTGAATTTAACATATCATTTAGATTTCACAAAAAWGGCAATGCAGTACAATAAAAAAAACATATGTTTTCTCACAGTTAATATGGTTTTCTAAATCAAATGAATCAAAAGCTTTTTCTCTTTTCCAGAGCTTCTATAATGGATTTAGTGAYAGAACATAATAGGTATCTAATCAAGTCTTAATGGCTTTTCTAAAATTCTTGTTTTTACAAGAAATATTTACGATTGGAAGTACTGAACCTCTCATGTTTTCTTAAATAGATGACTTTGAGATACTTAGGGGGTATTAAATAGCGTCCGTTTTAGCGCGTAAAATGCTTATCTATTGTCTTGTATAACTCCTAACAACGTCACATACAATAATTTAACGACMGATAATCAACACCTTTAAGGCTATTAGGAGAAAATTGGAAAGATAAGAAAACCGAGATAATATTTTTTTTTTTTTGCTATTAAATTGTTTTTGGGAGGATTTCCCTTAAAATAATAAAGAAATAAGAAAAAAAAACCCCGACGGAAAGTTGTTACTTTGTGAATTAAATAACAATTACAATCACCCACTAATTGAGTGTGTTTTCTGAATTTTTTCTTTGTTTTGACTTGATGTTTTTTTGGTCATGTTTTTTTTTTGGCGAACATTCATTTTAGATGAAATAGAGCGCGAGCGATACCTTTTTTCAAGCATTTTTTTGAAATAAAAGGTTTTGACATTTTAAAGACATAAATCATGAACTAACAGCTGTTGATACAGGTCATAATTTTCCAYTAAACAAAGAAAAAACGTAAGCATACGAGGAGCTACACAATGACGAGAAACAATAGCGTCAAATGACCAAAAAGCAGGCGAAAGAACCAAAGATAATGCGAGGARCCGGACTTCAAATGAGAMCGTGACRTGAATGATGTCTCTTCGAGGTAATTAATTGCACAGATCAACCAGATATCATAGTAAAGTTCGACTCATGCAATCTCATAAGAGAAGCTATTTTAAACTCCAGTCGATTCGACATAGACAAATTGAAGATAATGCGATAGCTGAAAACTTTATAACGAACCAATATTCCCCGGAATATTTCATGCAAAATCAAAACTACTAAAGATTAGATTCTGTTTTTTCACGAATTTCTGGAACGCCCACAGTTTATTTGAATAGTTTAAAAGCAATTACRTTGAATACACCTAAAACAATGAAGATCTTCCAAAACCAAAGCGACACATACAGAGAAAAACACGAAAACTTTACCTTTCCATAATGATGTTTTAGAAACCTCCTACGCAGTARCTCTTCGTCGTTTATCGTAGATTCATTAAATACGAGAACAAATGAAGTCTTCTTGCGATGYTTKTGYGYGAAACTTCTTTTCGACAACGCTCGCAAAACACAGATGCACAAGACAGATACGGAAAGCCTCTTGGTGAAGGTTACACGGTGAAGCGAATCGTTGGAGTCAACTGGAAATACAATCGTGACCGAATGCGCTGGCGGCGCGGAATGCTACCTAGCTCCACGGTGGTCCCRAGTGTCTCAAGCCCAAATATAAATAAGCATCTTTGTAAATAYGTCAGKTTCTCACATTTATCTTTGCAGCTTCCGAATAACTTACCACGCAACTAAAGTCAATAATGGAAATCCCATTTGTCAATAAAAGTGAAAAAATAGAAAACGGCATTTATTAAACGTTGACACCAGACGTCTGCGAGTTATTTGAAGGGAACCTGATAGTGTTCCGTGAAATTAATACAAAACAAATCCCCTTCAAAAAAATGTCATCGGCGATATCTATCTGCTGACTGATTGATCACTGCTTGGACTGATAGTCATTACAGCTGCTCTCACTTATCGCAGAATTTACTGACGAAAAACTATTAATTCGATGACAAAATTATGCCAACATGAACATGAATCAAGGCAAACACGGCTATGAAATGAAGTTTAAGAACAACGAAGGGAGAAAGAGAAAAGGAAAATACAGCGAGAAGAAGGCTTTGTAAATAGGCTTATGAAAAATTAAGCAATGATAAATTAAGAAAACAAGGAGGAAACCAAGAGTGGGATGCGAAAAGAGAAAGAAAATTACAAACGAAAATGCGMGAGAAAACGCTAAGGAAGATAATTGTATTTCTGAAGGATTTCGAAGGCAGCATTGAAATAACTGATGGTAAGAAATTTCAGTTTAAAAATGGAGTAAATAAATATATAAACAATTATCACAAATAAGGATAAATCGGGTAAGGAAMTGTGTTTGGGTAAATATACTGATWCTTTACTTCACTGRTTTTYGTTWTTTCTTTTTTTTTTAATTAAAAAAACTATGAATGCATGCATTAATTAAATTGGCACTGGAGTGTTAAAAGGATCAGAACAGATCAAACGAAGCATTTGTCAAAAAAATGTCCGAAATGAAAATAAATAGCTATTTAATCTGTATTAATAAATCACTATTTAATTCACAGTAAATGGCAAAGAGTCACGTTATAGACAATTATTAAAAATTAAACATCTCAAAAACACACAATGCATCTGATTATATCGACGAAACTTAGTAATTACATTAAAACATGAAATAAAGAATAGAAAAGATTCAAATGTTCAAATAACTCTCTTGATTATAGCAGTTCATTGAAGGGCTGCCTTCAYAGATCATTTAATCATTGAGCGAAAATCACTTTAATCTTAGCCAATTAATATACCAAAGCTAATCAGTCTTGTGCACAAAATTGTACGGGGTGAAAATGGCAAAGAAAGATGACTTCTAAATGGCTCACTTACCGTCCTTGACTCAAGGTAGCTTTCCATTGCACTTATTTCACTTGTTAAGCGGAAATCACTTGAGCATTTTCAAAGTACACAGAAATTAATTATCCGATGTGATGAACGTTCTGTCAATCGTGCTTAAAAACGTGCTTGTTGTCCATAAGTATTTCATTWAAAAAAAATGTCCGCTGCTGCAACTACTTCAACTATTTCAACCTGTAAGGACGTGCCGCTATAGAGCTATCAATATATGACCCGGATTTGACTTTCAGCCAAAAAAAATGTTCTTTGTAATAGAAATCGCTGTCTTGCATATGTGACCTTCAGCTTCTACTTGGCCTCCTCTCAGGACAAAAATAGGTACTACTCGGGATGAATATATATAGATATTTTGACATAAACCAGGTATCTAGTGCTAAAAAGTGCAAGCTACTCGGTAAACGACGTGGAAAAACCGCCCTAAACCCCTTCGAGAGAGCCTGATACTCAGGCTAAAAAACCTGCTGAAACTATTATTGCTGCGAATACTGAATGATTCTAGACACCAAAATTTTAAGGTGACTCTAAGCTGTCGTTGTCATGGAAACAGACAAACATACAAACTGATAGACAATATGAAGAATTACAAGAAGACAAATATAAATGAAACTAATCATCGGACAGAAGGTTAGACAAGAAAGGCATACATTGAACCGAACAAATCACAACCAAAAAGAGGGAAAAAAGATTGCGTGAGGGAAGGAACTAAGAGYGATACTATGCAACACTTCAAAAAACGCCGGTCAAAACAAAAGAATTTTKAAAGCAAACTTACACACCGAAGAAAGATCTGAGTASACAAAATCAACAAACGGTCATAGCAAAAATAAACTTTATGAAACACAAATTACTAAACATACAAGACGTCAAGTCGAATGTGCACCGACGTGAAAACAACGAATATTAACCGAATGTAGATCGAATGGCGAATATGAAACGGCTATATATCGATGGACGAACTCATTATAAATTCATTGTAAATCGGATTTCCTGTGTTGTCCGTCACGTCTGGTGAACTTTAGTCTTATAAAAAACACTGGCGATACTGTGGAAAAAAAAATTTGTTCCACCACAGCAGCCCTGTCTACATTGGTTTATATTTTCTTCATCACAATCGTGCTAATAAAGGGAAACACGTCTAAAAACCACTGGGCTTAAAGGCTAATTAATACCTTTGATCTCTAACTTGTCTGCTCTTTGGATTAACAAGACAATAACTGTGTATTTAATCAACTACGTTTACACCTAAATATAAACAATCGTTGCTTGAAAACAACGGCGGGGTATTTTTAGCTGTGCTTAACTCTATAGGACTTCTAATTGATACCCTCAGTGTTTTCAACCCTGTTTTGTTTTTGCGTGAGAGGAAAAAAAATACTCTAGAACACCTACAAAATAGGCAAAAATGTTTCTTATAGTTGAAATGACAGTAAAGTTTGCTAGTTGGTCCATGAAATGACGATTACCTCAGACATCGCGAACACTGAGGCAGAACTGACTTCATTTAGAAAGTAACGATGATATCTTTGTGATAACATAAATTGGGTGCCTGTGTAAGCCATAGTCAAATTAGAAGCAGGTTGAGCGCATACAAAAAGCGCTAAAACGACGTGATTACAAAGACCTGACTGATYAGACTTCAAGTTATGTAAACGGACTCCACGAAGAGTAATAAATCCAAGATATCACAATGAGAAACTGAATGTATTACATTGATAAAAATAACTTACCATAGTTCGTAGTTTCGTTTTGATCAAATGCCTGGAAAAGTTCTGCTGATGGTCCATCGAGGTTATTTACCTTCTGTTAACTGTTTAGTATAGCGAGTCAATGAGTAATCTGTAATTTATATACACTTAAATGATTAGACGCATCGYTGGTGACGATTGAGAACTAAAGAYGAGAAAGACGAGTCCTTGCTTGACTGACGCTRTAAACATTACTGAGACAATGGGGGTCCCATTGGGAATCAGAATACTGTGGTTGCMACCCTTGTTCAATACTCACGACACGCTTGACAACAGTCCTTTTTCAAGGCTCATGTTAATCACCGCTGACATAAGAGTTAAATATGTTATAGTTACAGTCAAGAGTGAATGAGAATCTGAACAAAGGATGTCTCCTCCGCAGGAAAAAAGAGTTGCCTGGGAACGAGCTTAGYCCTACAATACAAATGTAACAGAAGCACTAATGCATGTGGGATACYGCGGAGATYATAAAAGATAGACTTCCCTAAGTAGTTGAGTTTCGCGAYACACTGTTTTAGCCTCAATTGTGTGTAAAATATCCTGGTATTCAAATAAAACTCATTTCAAACTATTYTCATTGTCTTCTATMATCACAAATCTCTACACCTGTCGYTACTGAATAAAAGAATATATTACATGGTTTTGAAGATAACACTATTGCTAAAGGTTTATTGCGCATGACCTCTAACTCTCTAACGTAAGCTAAAGCTATGGTCCAAAGTCAGCGGCTGTGCAACGTTTGAATTTTAGCTTTCTTGCTACGTCGTGGCTGCTAATCCCTCCAGTTCCATAGTCCCTCAAAAAGCAGAAAATCGCATTTTTGAAGTTTAGTCAAAAATATCCTCCGCGGTTTCTGCCTTCTAATCTAACAACAACAGCTTTCACTTTTATAAAAGCGGTTTAATCAGCGGATTCCCCAAAAGTKAGCCGCTGAAAGGGTGAACACTTTGTGTTATACAAACAAAATGCCGTTGAAAGCATATYAGTCTACCTTCAGTAACTATGTTGAAAGTCAAGCTAGGCAAGGAAGACTTACAATGTTTGTAGATGCCGTGAATCGGGTAGATCTATTGAGTCATGATGACATAAACGTCATTTTTTGAACAATATATGCCGGTTAGATTGCCGAAATTCATGAAAACTACAAAGCTGTCTGTCTGTAATATCATAAAGAAAGATGCGTCGTAATGAGGTGCTTTTCTACATGAAWAATAGTTGAAAGATTAATTAACCTTACCTTATACAAAATACACCGTTTCCGRCAACATCTGGTATCTTTATTATTACCAGGAAAACTCTAGAAAATATCTATTTCGCTATTGTTTTGTCCGCGCATTACAAAAAAATGGCGATTGAACTTATTGAGCACATAGAAAATAGACCAAAAAGATTTCCAAAGAGATTTGAGAATTAACGATCAAATTCCAGAGTTCATTACTGATGGCAATATTAGCCCATACAGTCGATTAAAAGATATTTGATGATTGTTTGGTTTACCTGTGTTTTTTGGTTAATCTTTGAATTTCATATACTGAATACCCAGAACAACTTTCGGCCGTGCATTCTCTATTGCTTAACGTCCAAGCGGCARGACCAGTTTCTTTTTGAAGTGTCAGGCGTACGTTGGGCGTCAGTGTGACTGATTTAGTAAAATTTGAGTTACATGTCTAATCGGTGATTATACTGTGTTTTTTTTTTAAGCATATCTTAAAAGATGAACCCACTGTATATAACAAACTTACCATAAAGTACTTAYTAGCCTTATAAATACAAAAAGTAAAACAACAATACGACGAAAAAACATTTTGCCTTAGTTTTGATAGTTACTTTTTCACACCTGACTGCCGCATTTCCTGGTCGTTTAAAAAAGATCCGATCTATTTTACTGAACATACATGGCATGGATTATGTACAGAAACTGACCTAGGTAAATACTGGAATCGCTGCTTTATCATATTATTGGTCGCTTGTCTCTTTATTTTGTCTTCATAGAAACTTTGAGTTTTATTATTTGTTTAAATTCAGCTGCTCCTCTGAGCAATCCATTCAAAACAAAGCCATAGTCTTTATTAATCAATCATTCTCATTCGATTTATTTTCGTTCACGGGTCTAATATTTTCAAAAAGTTGACAAAGCCCATTAGAACAGTTATTCAGGATCACAAACAATACTAAATCTACAACACTGATAGCTGCTAAAAGCATGAACGTATATCGACAGCCAATAGCACCAACAATAAATCCCCCTATCACCCCTCCCCCTCCACATCCTAGTCCGGAATAAACACCTCCCAGAATGCCTTGCAAAGTAGAGGGTGCTCCAGGTGACAGACCGATAAATACCACACTGGCGGACCAAACAGCAGCATTCGTYACACCGTGTAACAGCTCAAACGGCAAGACAATCCAACTGTTAGTTACRAATGAATAACCAAGAAACCGTATTGTGTAGCAAACAAGCCCAGCATACARCACTCTCTGGTGCCCTAAGTGCGTTATCATAGCGCCTGAACAAAAGTACATCAAGATGTCCGAGGARCATTGTAGAACTGCGATGCTGCTAAATAGAAACTGTGTTCCTCCAATATCCTGCAGATGCCAAAAAAGGAAAGTTTGTATAATTCCAGTCGCGCAGCCACAAAACAAGATAGTCAAAATAAAATAAATGTACTCCCATTTRCATAATACTGATCCTATTCCCTGGAATATGCTTTGTTCCTCTTGCTGCTTGTCATCAAACTTAAGAAGTGCACCAATTAAAATTGCCAATCCCATTAGWATAGCAAAAGTGTAGAAACAAGGCATGTAGTCGACGCTTAAAGGATTGTTGCAGCCTTTTACTTCTTGTATTGTACTTATGCAGGCGCCTACTAGAAATGCTCCAGCCCCGAATCCAAAGGAACCCCATAAACGTTGTTTGCCATAGTTTTGCTTATTGTCTCCTAATATAGGATACGATGAAAATGATCAGTCGGTTGAAAGATATGCATTTAAGTGGAAGTTAGAAAAAGAATAAGACTTGCGCATTGTCATCTCAAGAATAAATGAATTATAACAAATGAATGCACGAATTGAATAAATTGATGATGACTGATGGATGGATGGATGAGCAAATGAGTTGATGTTTATAGAAACGAAGTGGCAAACGCACGACTTGCAGGGAGCGAAGGAATGAGTGATTATTTGATAGAAATGTGACATTTAATTCAGATGGAAAGGATGGGAAAATGTGTAATGCATTCAAGTAAAGAAATCATCAATTTATACGCAAGTGAAATAGATTATGGTTATCTGATTCTGATTCTTTGACCCCCTGATGTCAAAGAAACTCAATCTGGGGGACAAAATACTGAATATCTTTTCTCCCCTTAGATTGACTAGAACCCATTTTGCGACCCCCAGATGGAGTTACTTCCCACTGATGAACTGCACCGTCAAAAAGGCATACCAAGTTTCTGGAGTGTTGCTATATCGGCCAAAGTCAGCGTTGGTGAGTACAAAAGTGTCCCTACAGCCGTGATAACGAACAGCACAGTAAAYAAGTAAGTGTTATGATCATTTTCCCACTCTTCGGACTCCCAAGTGTTCTTATAATYCACAATTGTATCAATTGGCCAAGGGTAATAACCCTGCATRTTTAGAAAATCAAAGACTCTTTCCAATTTCTCCCGAGTAAGTGCATCKGCAAGTTCTGTAATGTTAGTACTRTTGTGGGACTCGATCAKTGTCAGTACTTCTGAGACTAGATCTGCCTGTGCAAAGTGRTGTTTATGTCTGGAGAGATTTTGGCTGAGTYTCCGTAAAAACTCTTTTGTTCTAGTTTTCTCGTTTGGTTCAAATATTGTGGATGTAGTTCTATTTGGTGCCATTTCTTTAGCGCTTGAAGARTTTGCATTTACTCGATRCGAACTTTGAASGGGTGTCTGGTTTGTTAATTCTTCAATRATATCTTCAGTTATGGTAACGGAGCTGTTATCCCTACAATAAGACTGTCGAAAAACAGGCGAAACTAGCGAAATCGAGTAATTCGTGACCAACCAGGCAACTAACGATATTATGAAAATACATTTACTTCTCTTATAAAAATCGACTATGATACCCCACATTGGTATTGCCACCATTTTGATCAAAGGTCCGATGCCTAGTAAGATACCTGTTTGCTTTGCTGACAACCATAATTGTTTATAAAACACGGCCAAAAAAGGAATCAATGAACCAATGGCTGCAAGGAAAAAGAAGTAGAAACCTTTGTAAGSAAGAAGCGAGGTGTTGATTTGCGGACAACAGCTATGACGTTGAGTAGTTTCTTCTTTCTTGCCACAAGTGTCACTTAAATCGTCCTTTATTTCCTGTTTATTTTGCCCAAGTGATCCATCATCATTAGCTCTATGGTCGTCGCTTTTCATCAAGAAGCTGTCATCCTCCATGTTTTTGGATTTYCCTAAGGCAATTTCAAAAGTTTCAGCATCGTCGATTTGATTGTATTGGCTCATTTCCCTATAAGGTGCTTGGTCCGTGTTTTGTTGTCACCTATGAGTGTTCATTGATTGAAGGAACCGGTAAATTTGCTATGATGTTATTTCCTTGTTGAGAACCAACGGGTACTGTAYTGTGAGTTTCCATGGCAACGAGGGTGTCACCGTAACAATCAAACTATTTCCAYGGTAACGATTAGCTTTACACCTTTGTCTTTTCTATACAGKGATCTTTTATGTGATCTGTGGAAATTTAGCTTGAGAAATTTGGGGTCAATTTGAGACATCAAATTGGTTCATGGTTTCTTGCTTTCTTCCCTAGAAAATTCAAAACTTTACAGAAAAGGAAGATTTATTTTACACTAACATCTACATTGCAATTTCATGTCATTAGCAAGAGCAGAATATTATTATTATATAAACTTTACAATGATATATATATAGAGAGAGAAGGCTATAAAGTATGACATGATATGTGTATAGATATATAATGTATAATATCAATACGCGTTCGCAAAAAAGACAAATATGGCCCTATTGAAATTAAAGAATCCCAACCAACCACAATACAGCACSCGCTCRTGTTATTGTTTACATACGTYTAAATGCGTCAAGCATACAATAGATTATAGATTGATAGTACCTTTGAGGTACTTAGTTAAAGGTATTTCTRTGCAAACTGAAAGGATGGAAGACAATTCGCGCTCTCTTTAAGAAATCCTACGAATCCGCCATTTTCGTTGCATTTGCGCTTCATTTGCGCTTCGGCTCGCAAGCTACGACGATTGATTCTGATTCTTTAAACAATACATTGACTAAAGACATTTGTAAACAATATATAAACACTCGTTTGCAAAATACTGATCTTGATATGTATATGATTTAACTTAAAATTATCGAAAAAATAGTGCTCAACTTTGTCAAGGAGCATTGTATAAAATAAAATTGTACTTGAAGACTAGAATGATTCATTGTTTTATTGCTACAAGCTGGTTTCGTATGGTCATCAAAGATGGCCACACTCGTCAGGCAAGTTACAATGAATGAATGACCGTTAAAGTTTGCTGGTAGTTTAAAAACCGCGCTATCCAGTTTTCATCCGGTAGAGTTATATTACATGGTTTCTTAGTGTAAATCAATAAAACAATGAATCATTCTAGTCTTTAAGTACAATTTTATTTTATATATGATTTATATATACGTCTTTTGTTATCTGTTGTTTTTTTCAGTATGCGCCATCTTTGTCGTTTTCATTGGAAGAGTACACAAATCATTTTTTTGMAAACGAGTGTGATATCAAGACTATAAAATATATGGTATTTCCATRGTTATAAATAAGGTTTCAGGCATCGGTACACGWCCTCGCCCATCTTATCGTAGCCATATGGGTTCAAATGCAAGTGATCGTTCCAGAATAATTTCTGCATTTGCGGAGATAATGAATGACGTGGAATTTGAACGGCCAGGTCACAAAGTAYAGTACGGCCTTGAGATGAAGCTGCAAATTGCCTTAATTCTTGATTTATTTTTCTTCGCATTAGCCAAAGAACTTTGAATTGGGGCCATGCCTCGTAGGCGCTTTCTGGAATGGTAAGCAGGACTGTTCTGGATCCATAYCTGTAAGCGTCTTCATGGAGCGTTACAATATCTTTTAATATCTTTGGCGACCATATRCTAATAAGTTGGTTCATAAATGAATCGTCGTCACCAAAGTTCTTGACATGCGCAACGTCGTTTGTACCTGCTAATATWACTACCCAATCAAATCGAGAACTATTGCCSAGTACTTCMGGTARTCGTTTACTCATCGACCCATGAGCCATCTCGCCCGTTTTGCCACTAGTGACRACGTCATACCTTATTTGGTGATTGGAGTTGAGTAATTGTTTAAAYCTTATGCTATATGGATGGAAGTTATGTCCATGGTTGTAATACCCATTGGTTAAGCTGTCGCCGAAACAAAGGATATGTTTGGAGTAAGGATCATTYCCTAGAACCGACTGTTTCCGAAGTCCATTTCTTGTTTGATCTGTAGATAATGGCGGTGGATGAATKGGTGATGGATTTGCCGCAGGTGGTGCAGAAAGATCTYCCATCTTTTCTTCGATTGATGTACGAGACGCACTTGGATTTCCATCAGCCTTTACTTCCCTTGTAGGTTTAGAAGCAGCTCCTAGATTCAGCCCTGCTAATCCCAAGCGAGATARCAAATCTTTGATCAGTTTACCCTTTCCTTGTGTTGTCGGCTTCGGCGTTGTTGGTTTTGGGGTCGTCGTTTGCATYTTCTTTAGCAAAAACGGAAGAATATCCTTCAGTTCGTCTTCGATTCCTTTGCCTTTTGTTGTTGGTTTTGGAGTTCGTTTTGTTGTCGGAGTTGTTGKMGGAKGMGTAGTCGTGGGAGGAGTTGTACTATGAGTMGTTGTTGATGRTGTAGTTGAAGGAGTTGTAGGTTTWGTGGTAGTGATCGTTGCTTTCGTTGTTGTACTTWRATGGATTTTCTTCACCCCACTCTCTCCTTCGATCTCACTTTTCACATTACTGACTACAGAAGGTAATATCTTTGATAGCAGTTTACTTATGTACAAGGGACTAGTGATATCAACTTTTGCACCTTTTTTAGGATGCTTTTTTGTGTCTTTCTTTGATGATTTWCGGTGGTTTTTTTCTCTTTTTCGCTGAGCTKCCTCTTTGTCCTTYTTCATCTTTTGCAGAGCACTTTTTAGACTGGACAATGGRGTTGAATTATTTACACTTGCTTTGYTTTTATTTACAATAGAAAGAACATTAAGCAGCTTATTAAAGAAAAGATCTTCACTGTTATTCCTCTCCTTGGAATGACGTTCCTTGCTTTTATGACTTTTTCCTTGCAAGCTGTMTTTCCTTCGTTTACCCTTTTTAGAGTGTCCATTAGCCTTGGTTGTCTTCGTCTTCTTCGACTTATTTCTTGCACGTTTGCTTGTATGCCCTCTCTTTTTTGTTTTCTTTTTGTGACGACTTCCCTTCTTTGAGTCGTGATCTCGATGCAATTGTTTCCTTAGTTTCTTTCCTTGATTATGCTCGTTCGGTAAAGTTCCCCTGAAACTAACAGAATGGAAACGAGCTTTCGACGGTCTACAAGCATCGACATCGTATTCCGAAGCACCAGTTATACTTTCCTTCTTTCTTTTAAGCTGTAGCACAGCTTTCGTAACAAAGTACAATTTATAACAAAGTTGTGTTTTCTTGTAAGACGCGCGTGTGCTGTGTTTTCTATGTTTTCGAATGCGAACAACATTGCAAACAAGTACAGTGTACAAATGCTTTCCTTGATATCTAGCTCGTGTCAGCAGAACTTTTCCGCTTGCAGAAAAGGTTTTCATTTTGATGCAGTTTTTKATTTTCCTCTTTATTCCTTTCCACTGGCCGTGTACTTCTTCRTCTACAGAATGATGCTTCTTGTAGCGAACGTAGTGCTTATAGTCGAGGATATGATGCAAATGTTTCACGTTTTTACTTTCAGCATTRTGAATTCTTTTCTTAGTTGTGTGTATCCTATTGTGTCTTTGTTTATTTTTCCTATTGTGTTTTGTGTGGTGTGGTATCTTACTACGAGGTTCACTGTCTTCATCGACCTCAGTGGTATGTGCTTTCCGATGGACGTGTTTATGAGCATGTCTATGCTGTTGGTGTTTCCGATGAAGAATATGATGATGCTGGTGTTTGGTTTGTAAGTCATTGTGACTATGTTGATGATGATTATGATGCTTTTTAATTTCATGGTGGTGTTCTTGATGGAAATGGTTATGGCTTTGTTGGCTTTGTTGGTGGTGGTGGGGATGATGTTTTTGCACATGCTCATGCTGGTGATGATGACGATTATGGCTACCACCATCTCTGCTGTTAGATTCTTCAAACCCTTCCTGGTAAGAACTATGAGGATGCCCACTTGATTTCTTATGGCTGTGATGCTTATCACTTCTGTCTGGTCGCGAAATAAAACTTCTTGTATAGCTTTTTTTACCTCGAGAACCCAATAGCACTTCCTGGTCACTGCTCATTTCGTGATGCAAATGTTTGCCATCGTCGTCTTTACCGTGGTGATGCATATTATGGCGATATTTGTGGTGAGATTGTATGATTTTCTTCAGATTGTGGTCTTTGTGTCTTTTTGCAGAGTTGCTATAATCATTGGCTTTGTCGCTATAATCATCTCCATTCAGGAGTGGCGTCTTTAAGTGTGGCCTAAAATGGCCATTTGTCATCGCTATATTGTCATCATTCTGTCCGTATGCCACTCTTCCTCTTCCATTGAAATATCTCCCTGACATCCTATTATCTCTGAACATAGACAATGGAGGCTTGCGTTGCCTTAGACTCCACTGTCGTCCGAACAATTGCTGCCAAGTTGGCGTTGGTGGTGGCCATTGAGGAGGTATGTAGTCTTCGCCTGTAATTGGACTTTGTCGGTTGCTTTCGTATGGCTGGCTAGCTGCATCTTCTCCGAACAGTGAACCTTTAAAGCGACTTGGTGGTTGGACCTCGGGCTGTGTTGGAGGATCCTGCATCGGTACCGTRGGTGGATTATAGGTAGATGTTGATGGAAGGGAAGTAGGTTTTACAATCTGTTGTGTTCCACTATTGATATTGTCATTACTCATTGTCGGGAAGAATTTTCTTAAYTCTTCTTCATCTTCTGCTGACCACGTTGGAGCCTTTGTCGTTGGATTCACCTTTGATGGTGTTTCGGGTCGACGGTTTTGACTCGAACGGGATGTATTAGCGCTGACTATTTTCCAGAGAGCATAGATAAACGCCAGAATAAATAGAGCAAACAGAGCGTAAAAAGCTAACGAGGCATAACCTTTCTGGCACATAAGAATACTGCTGAGTTTCTCCGTACAATTGAAATTGCATGATAGTGTATTCATCCCACGATTACTTGAGGCGGACGTCAAATTCTTGTGCCATCGAACGCTTTTTGGTACTCGACGTGATCGCTTGGATTTGGACGAGCGTGTCTTTTTCTCGCCATTGTTTTCAACCATCACAAACTAACCCTGCGGGAAAAATTGTTTRATTTTTAAAAACATTTTTTCAATTAGTGTTTGTAGTTTTGATTTCTCTTTTTGTTCACGGTTATTTGCACTCATCAACCGCTTTGATCACGAGTAATGTTCGCCGCATGCATATTTATTTGAGGCATTTTTTCGTTTCAGAATTTGAAAAGCGTGTCTTTATTCGTGAGTAGTTCACGACTTATATTTTTGATTCACTCTTTAGAGATATATTGTATTCAATTTAACATATGGAGAGTGAAAAATTCTTCACCGTGAAAACATTATCCGCGAACGTCGTTATTAGGCCTGACTGCAGTTTTGTTTTTAAAGTTTATTAGGGTTTATCTTTTATTTGTTTAGAGGGATAATTAATAAGATCGCGAGTAATAAATTGTAGGTGCACTAGGTTGTGTTTCACGGGTTGTTGACCAAACTCTCGTAGCTTTTCCTCACAAAAAACAACCCACCAGTCATGCATATCCATGCATGCGACCATAATTTCAATAGCATTGATTTTAATTTGATTATTGCTACATCAATGCATTCTAGTATAAACTATATATATCTTTTGCATCTTAGTATGTTGTTTTACTCAAAATAAACATCACTTGTTTGAAAATATTGAGCATCTTTTCAATGAAAACACGAATCAATCCATGTGCAAAATTACCGGATGTCAACAATCAATTGTCATCCATTATAGCAATAATTATAACCTCAATAACACCGTGAAACCATATGATATGCTTATAGACTTATGATTATTCACGACAAAATAGAAATCTTTGTGTTAACTTACCATAAAGTGCAAAAGTGCACGCACATTTCTAGGTCATCGTTCGTGCAAAGTAAGTCACTGGTTTGTGCCATGTCAATAGTCCGACAAGTGGCCARCAGTTTTCCATTCCATTTTGCATAMCTTTCACTRAWTATTTWGTTTATAAAGCAGAAAAAACAACATTGGAATTGTTTTGTCTGGAAGCGACTTGTTGTGACCCAACCCTAGCGAAAAAATCTATTTTCTCATTTCGGAAAGTGACTGTTGCTWTTGRATGTGAGATCATCATCAAATACAACTATTAACAAAGACGGAATTTCGCCGTTTCTTTCTACATTTCAAGTTAACTTTCACACAAGAAAAACCATTTCTATACCAACTTATCTGAAAAGAGATAGACATTGGTTAAAWTATGTAAATGTGCTGCACCATTGAAGTTTGCAAAAACAAGATTTTACGAAACAAGAGATTTGATTGAAAAAATAAAAACATTGACTCTTTGAGTTGATATATAATTTTTTGATAGTCATAACTATCATATATACATAAATACGCTTCGTGTTCTTGTATATTCATTATWATTATATTTATTTTGTCATTTTCAGTGAATTTTGTGAGCGCAAATTTTAGCAGCAAAGAACAACGTTGATCTTTCCATGTTCCACTAGTCACCATTRCACAGCAGTTACAACCTTGTTYAGTGAACACTTTTWCAAATAAACTCTTGTAAAACTGCCATTTTKGATTAGCCAAATCRCTGTAGYATTCTTCYCTTTAACTTTTTCAAGTAGTTGCCCAGTGCTACATTTATTAGTTCCCTACAAAACCAAAAYAATACGATTACTGAACCGTGTAATGGCACCTGTTGTTGTCCATCGTCCAATCCATAACACTCAACATAAAATCACTTTCAAATGGTTTTTCGAACCTGTGTTTAATACAAATATACGAGATTTTGAAGCTGAAACATTTAGTAACCTTAAGAGCAAAAGTTGGATCAGTTTTACTGGGTGKGGCGTATTTGAACTTGGGTTATTATAGACAGAAATCTCGATCAGGTAGGCTAAAACAAATAACTATTTTATTCGACWTTTTTAAGGTAAACAACCAAATGTTCGTGAGGACAAGGTTAATCATTTCAAATCTTTGTAGGGTGAGCATGAACGAAGACATCGCGAGTACCGAGTCTTGTCTCTCGGTCAACGATCACCATAGTGACGGCAACAAACAAAAAGAAACTGTCGAGAAAGARAAKAAACGTAATACATTAGACAAGTRTTGTCCGTGYATCGATCAGAGGACACTGGTACCTAAAGCMTTTTACACATTCTTCTATACTGGGATCGGTGCTCTTTTCCCGTACCTGCCTGTGTATTTTAAACAGCTGCATCTTACTCCTCACGAGACWGGGGTGTTAATWGGTGTACGTCCTCTTATACAGTTTCTGGCTACGCCCATCTGGGGTGCAATAGCTGACCGGTACTGTAAAGGGAAAGTAATTCTTCTTATGTCGATTCTTGGTTGGTTGGTATCGAATGTCTTATTGGCCCTAGTGCCAGAGACTAGACACACTAGGTTGTGTGATAACACCGTGGATTATGATCCAACGATGAAGCAGCTTAGCGATACAGCTATGCGTATGAAGCGAACACTTWATAACATTTCATTGGCCAAGACATCAGACAAGGTATATTTTGACAAAAGCGCACGACTCTACGATAACCATACAATAACATATGAGCCCWCTGAACRATATCAACGACCTTGGATGATAAATCTATTGGAAGATGATTATGTTTTGCATGGTAATATCTCAAGTGATATTCGAATATTCCGATACTTATTAGCTGTTACAGTATTAGGGACATTGTTGTCTGCTCCAACTCATGCTATGGCAGACACTGCAACTTTAACGAGTCTAGAAGGAGCCTTACACAAGTATGGTAGAGTACGCCTKTGGGGSTCACTCGGTTGGGGTGTGGGGGGATTTTCCGTTGGTTCMGCGGTCAGTACAAGTTACTCAACACGATGCAACGGCGAGATTATCATCGATTATTTCCCGTGTTTTTACGTGTATGCGGTTGCTATGGGAATGGCTCTCATGTGTGCTACTCAGTTTCGCTACAGCAAATCAGTCGATGAGCTGGAGCAACCGAATGCTTCAACAATTAGAAATGCTATCAAGGTGCTCCGTAGTCCTCAGTATTGTTTTCTTTTAGTCATTGCTTTTTACTGTGGTTCAGCTACAGGTTTCATCGAGACATTTTTATTCTGGTACCTACATGAGATGGGCGGTGGACAATTCTTGTTTAGTGTGATCAATGGAATGAATTGTGCAGCCGAAGTTGGCGTGTTCTTYGTGACAGACCGTTTAATATCTTGCTTTGGSCATCTCAACATCATCTATTTAGCRCTTRTWTGYTACTCYKTTAGGTTTATATACTTTTATTTTGTAATGAGCCCATGGTGGGTAATACCAGCGGAGTTGCTCCAGGGAATAACAACAGCAGCKCTTTGGGCTTCCTGTGTGTCGTATGTAGGGCTKCATCCGGGTGCTTCYCACACTTTACAAGGRATACTGAATGGTGTWTATATGGGACTGGGGTTTGCTGCTGGKGGGTTTGTCGGGGGAGGGGTAGTGCACWTGGTTGGTATGCGCAATGCTTTCCTGGTGTATTCCTTGGTYAGTTTTATTATCTGTATYTTATTTTACATCTTGAATAGGTATCACAAAAATTAGTAGGCAGTTCAAGAAATTTTGGAATAAAATGTCAAATCTTATTGGCAAACAGGAGACTAAGGGTCATTCATATACGYATACAATGCTATTGCCATATGTCATTGTATAGGAGAGAAGCCGAAGAGAACTTGAACACTAGCTAAAATAATCATTTTCTATAGTAGAACTTCTAGTTTTCAGTAGAGAATTTAACGGATTTTGAACTTTTGAAATTGCCATGATACAAGGGCTTTTACTGATAGTGTGGTAAAACTCATACACTGTGCAAAGACATCGTGTGGTAAGGTAGAAACCAGCATAGCAAACGAATTCAACTCACATGCCGCGACTCAGGAAGACTCGAACCCATTCGATTTAATAGCCGATTTGCGAATTTCGCCTCCGTAGTCAAACACAAAAGAATCAAGACGAGGCGCCCTGCGTAAAGCTCAGTCAATTATAAAAAAAACTATTGTCTTTTCACGAATGACTCAGGCTTTATGCACGGAACCTCGTCTTGATTCCTTTGTGTGTGACTACTGAGGCGAAATTCGCTAGTCGGCTATTTGCTGTAATATATTTCAAGATCTTTAGTCGCTATTTAATGAGTCTCCGTTTCTGTTTTTATATTTTGAACGAGCGATCTTTAAAAGTATCACAGCACTAAAATCTCTTTCACCCATTTTGATGTCTTCTTTGWCAATTGTCACAGCAGAAATCGTTGCATTGCTACTTCMAAGCTTCAAACTAAAAACTCGTTTGTATTTTGATAATYATGATATTTATGGCGAAGTAGGGGTGGTAAGCGGGCCGTGCTTTCAAACACTCCTATCTACCTAAGARAACATTTGTTAACAATTAGTTTATTTTCTTTCATTGTGAATTTAATATAAATTCGCATTACTTTTTTATTTTTTTTGTTTGTCTTATGATATATTTATATCATATAGCATGCTTATGAAATATCAATGTTCAGCATTGTTCTTGTTAATGTAATGTCCTAATGCCGCATTCAGATGAGGTCGTTTAATGTTTTTTTTTTTCTGATCTAATTCCATGTCTGAATGACTGAGTATAATATAGCCATCGTCACTTGGGGGTTTGTCCTTGCTTATGAAATATCAATGTTCAGCATTGTTCTTGTTAATGTAATGTCCTAATGCCGCATTCAGATGAGGTCGTTTAATGTTTTTTCTGATCTAATTCCATRTCTGAATGACTGAGTATAATATAGCCATCGTCACTGGGGGGTTTGTCCTCTTCAGCGAACTTATCAACCAATATGTAGGCGATCAAGTCAAGGAGACTGATGAGACCAAATATRGTAAACGTGGTGGAGGCTCCATACGCACTAATGAAAAATCCACCAATGAACTCCCCVCAACCATGGCCCAGGCCCCAGTGCACACTGTGTAGTATTCCTAGAAAAATTGATATTAGATTGCGTGGTTATCATGTCTGCATAATAAGGTACAGTACTCGGCTGTGCCTCGTACTGGAACTAATTAAGAAGACTTTACCAGAATGTTATTTCCTCTCCAGAAATATTTATATTTATTCATTTTTTTGTTAAGTAAGCTGATGAGAAAGAGTTTTTAAGAAATATAACAAAACGAATGACCTTGCAAATACAAAAACCTTTTAAATTATTTAAATTTTTAAATATTTAAGTATTAAAATACTTGCAATAGGTAGCCTCTGTGGTTTTGAGCAGAAAAATCGAACACCATTATCGTACCCAGATCTTTCTAATTTTCCAAAGAGAAAATCGAAGGCTCTGGTTGAAGACTATATAAATACTTATGTCACCTTGGAAGCTTTGAACCAATCAAATCAAAGATCCCGCATTATTCTCCATGCAACCGAAGTCTTTAATTTTCCGTTAAGAAAATGAGAAGGATCTGTATGCGAGAATGATGGAGTACCATTTAATTATTTGATAACATAAATCTTCGATTACCTTGTAGTATGACATTGACTCCTTCCAATGAATGTATACCAACGTACGACATAAGAGAAGCCCACACTGCCGCAGTAGTAATACCMGATAGTGTCTCAATCGGCAATACATACCAAGGTCTTTTGACRATGGCATAGAAGAAAAGTCTTATAGAATAACACAGCAAKCCCARATACAGAACACGGATGTGCCCCAGTCTGGATATTAGCTTGCCTGAMAGGAAGTAAACACTCACTTCCGCTATGCAATTTACCGCTGACATGTAGCTAAAGAGAAGTTGTGAGCCTCCAAGGTCCTTTAGATGCCAAAATAGGAATACCTTGATTAGTCCCATGCAAATTCCAACAACAAATACAGTGACCAGGAACATRGTGTGTCGTGGTGTCAACATAAGGCGCATTCCRTCTATTATTCCTCTGGTTTTTTCCTGGACAAACTGACTGGTATTGGTTTCTTCTTTCTCTTCCTCCGAACCGTCTTCTCGTTTTGGTTGTTTATTGTCAAATTTCAATTTAAAGCCAATCAAAAGAGCGATCAACATGAATAACCCATACGTTGCAAAGCAAGGATAATAATTGACGTCCTTGCGTTTTGCACTGCCTGGCGGACACAGRTGGGTCTTACTAACAGCTGCACCGACAAGAAAAGCCATGGAWCCCCAGCCAATTGAACCCCAAAGTCTTTGCTTGCCATATTTATGAGTCTCGTTGTTTTCTTTGAGCTGCTGGACAGTAGCCGAGTCTCCTAAGGTCAGACTTGGACAAGAGAGAGTGGTACTTAATATTGTGACAAAGAGCAAGTACAGGAAGACGTTTATCGTCTTCTTACGATGCACTTGCCCMGTGTCTTGGAATGCCGTTCCATCACTTTGTGGCCATGGAGTCTCATCTAAGGAGTCTTCAGCCATCATAGAGAGCTGTTCCAGGTAAGTCGACAAGTTCGATGCTTTAACATCTCGGGTCTTCTTTGACACAGAGTGATTTTCCTCACAAAGATCTATRGGTGCAAAGGCATATGCAACCAGGCCAAAGTTGATGGCCATCATCGAGATGATGAAAATMAGTTTGCTCTTTTGGTAGCGATCTGCTACTGCACTCCATACGGGTATGAAGAAAAATGCAATATAAGGCTTTATACCGGTAATGATTCCTACACGACTTGCTGGCAGCTCAAGCTGCTTTAGAAACAACGATAGATACGGTAACAAGGAGCCTTGAGCCGCAAAGAAGAAAAAGTAGAATCCTTTAGGAATCAGATATCTTTTTTCAAAACCAAAAATCATCTTTTTGGGACTGCCATGTTCAGACTCTTCCTCTTCGTTGGTGTTTTTGTTGTGACCATGTTTTTCTTTTTTATCCATGGCTGTTCAACTGTACAAAACAATATTCCTTGGCCGTGAGAATTCTGTTTACATCATGATTCAACTTTCAATGGCAAAGTGTCCGCGTGGGATCCAAACTGGTGGTGACTGGTACGAGCAGGTCGTCACTCGAYCCTRTGATGAATTAATTGTTTCATKTACCATTTCTGCATTTTATTGGCGCTASATACTGACCTGTATCATTTTAAGAGATAATATGAACCGAAWTCTAATGCACTTAACGCAAATTAAGTTATTTGCGTCCACAATTAGGTTTTTATAGTGAATTAAGGAATCTATGAATAGGTTTCACTGACCTTAATCATATACCTGTTTGATATTTGCTTTTACCATGAGTCACAAGGAAAGTGCAGTCTAGTATGGCACAGTGAGTGGCCGTTTGACATTCGTTATATGTAAAGTAGTAAAATGATAATTGTACCGTAGTGCCCATTTCATGTAACAATAACCATAGCTTGAAAATTGTCAATTGTGTTAATTACTAGACCTGAATTTGTGAAGGTGTGAGAAAGTTATGTGTCGTGTCTGCTTGTTTTACTTGTCGTCGTTTTATACTGTCAAATGTAAATCAATTTTTTGAAAGACAGAAAGATACTTGAGAAATGGGAAGGAAAGGGAATAAAACATTTGAAACTATACGAACAGTTATTTCTTATTGCAGATTTGCACTAGTTCATTAAGCTCTTTTCACTATTTTGATTTTTTTTTTGCGTAATCTAAGCAGGAATTACACTTGTCCAATTCACATTTCCTCCGTTCAATAAACAGGAATCAAAGGTTTAAATAAAACTCAAACTTTATTAAATCAATTTTACCCATGCACCCTAAAAATGCTACAGTTCTAAACATACGACCACATTGCTTTTGGGCATGCTACAATTATTATTGATCTCAAATTAGTTGTCGATTTGTAAATCTATTTTGTGGAATTCAAGAGATGGTAGGAAGAAGCGAAAACATGTAATACTTTATACAGGATCAAATGATTGAGTTAGAAAAATCTATCCCATTCAACATATCATATATAATTCCACTTGAAGTTTAAGCCGACAACGTAACCATCAGATGCAGAATTCGGGGCTTTTGTTGTATTTACAATTGGCAAATAAGGGTAAYAGTCAATCTAATGGCCAGAGTAAAAAAATTAAGGAAAATARACTAGCTAAAAATTAAACAAGACAGAAATTTGAWCAATGAGAGACCTAATCTTATCGATCAAGTGACAGTATGATTGTCCCAAGCGCCAGCGCCTGAACAGCTAGTGGCGTTATGAAGACCCGAGTTTTTGAATGTCCATAGTCGGTGACTAATGTGGAAGATCAAAAATTCGAGACTGTAGCTATATTATAAACAGAGACAAACGTTCCTTCTGACTACAAACACTTTGAGTTTTTGATCTTTAACTTTCACTATTACAAGCTCTGTATTCTTGGTGTGCAAGTTACGTCATCACTGCCATGTTGGATGAAGATCACAAAGCATTCCTCATTAGCTTATCTTGTTCATTCATCCAACATGGCGGCGATAGCTTTGTTCTTTATTCCTGGTCATGTGGTTGCACACCAAGAATAAATGGAAAATTAAGATTTATCAAGAGTTCTTTGCACWGGAAGGTAAATAACGGAAACTCGAAGTGTTTGTGGAATGAATCCCCTTAATATCAAAGTTAGTCTTTTTGTTTGGTTTCGGCAATGTCCTCTTCAGATTCCATTCCTACTTCTTTGCATCCACCGATGTCCTTATCGTCTTTTGATCCAAAGACATTGTTTATGAACATATACATTGCCAACATTATGAGGCATACGACACCAAAGAACACGAACGTGAAGGGTGCACCGTAATGGTGAACCATTATACCCCCTATAACCTCCCCAGCACCGTACCCAAGCCCCCAGTGSACTCCATGCAATATACACTGCATGGTCGTGGCTGCGCCTGGGCCCGAGTTGATGCTTACGTAAGATAAACAGGCTGCCCAYACTGCTGCTGTGGTTATACCTGGTAAAAGCTCTACAGCTAACACCATCCACGGATTAGGAATGGCGGAATAATAAAATAGTCTAATCGCATAACATATAAGTCCAAGGTACAACACCTTAGCATGTCCTATCTTTTTGATAAGTCTGGCTGATAAAAAGTACATACTAACTTCAGCAAAGCAATTGACGGCAGATATTATACTGAACAGAAGTTGGCTTCCGCCCTTGTCTTTGAGATGCCAGAATAGAAATGTCTTGATAAACGCCATTAAGAATCCCAAGTAGAGAGCAGTAAATAGAAACATGATGTATTTAGGGCTCTTGAGAGCGCGTAGCCCGACCCGCAAACCACCTGCTCGTGACGTCCTTTCACTCTCATCAAAATGAAACCTTGTGGCGACTAACAAACCAAGAAACATTAAAACGGCAAACGTGTAAAAGCAGGGAATGTAGTCGACTATTTCATAGCTTTTGTGATGGCTGCATTTATTGGTGGTTTCCAATGAGGCACCAACAACAAACGCACCCACACCCCATCCCACTGACCCCGTTAGTCTTTGCATGCCATACTTATATGTCTCGGTACCAAGAAGCTGAATGGTTGCTGTGTCTACCAAAGCGAGGGTCGGCGCAGAGAAGAGAGTCCCACAGAAAGTAATTAGAAACAATGTAATAAATGCCTTTGTTGTGTCAAATTCTCGTCTCACTATTTCTGTAGTGCGCTGTTCCAGGTTGGTAATTACTTCTAAAGGCCATGGACTTGGTTCTTTATAGAAATATGGTAGGTACTTATCCTTTTCAAAGTCAACCATCTTGTCAATCTCGCCCGGCTCCATGATCTCGTCATCTGGGTTATCTAGAACTGGCCGGTGAATAAAATTAGGATGGCTCACTCCCGTCATATTGCACATTCGTCTAACCACAATTTTTCGTTCTTTGGGAGCAGGAACGAGAGACAGAGAAAATGTCGTAGATATAAGCGCAATCATTGATATAATTAGTACTAGTTTACTCTTGTGGCACTTGTCAACTATTGCTCCCCAAATTGGGATTACCAGAAAATTGACAAACGGTTTTAAGCCCATTAAAATGCCAACTTCGCTTGGTGATAACATTAACTGCTTAAAGTATAATGCTAGATATGGTAACAGCGATCCCCATGCAGAGAAGAAGAAGAAGTAAAACCCTTTCGGGACTAAAAGTGTTCGGTTAACGTTTGGGCAACATTTCTTATCTTTCTTGGTATTTCCTTCATGTTGATCATCAATTATTGGTTCTTTATCCTCTGCCATGGTSTCTTATATCAAATATTCCATGTAATTTTCTATTTTTTGATTAGATGGYCAGAATATGTAGCTCTTTGCTTGAAAAGGAAAGCCAACTTCGGCCGTTTGTTTGCTTGTAATCACTGAGGAAATAACTTTGGATCACGTAAGAGTGGCCGAAGACTTGACCTCGGATTTCATTCGTCGATTTGGATCAAAATGGCGTTGGGACAATCAATAATTCATAACATACCATGAAAGTACATGCTCATTTAAAGACACATTTGAGCAGTTCCTGTATCAATGGGTCAAGGAAATATCCCCTTATYWACTTTAYTGCTTCWWGCTTTGATACCGGGAGAGAATTTTCCGAAGCTCAACTGTTGCCAAKKGGTTCATCAATGAAGCTGRATCAAGAATCGAAAAACCAATCTGGATTGTTGCATTCAGTATTATTGCATTTACAAGAAAAACAATATATGAAAAACAAACATACATTCAATACTTGCAACGACCAGAAATTCTTAGTTGACCAGAAAGACTTYTTTCTTCCTCTGGCAAATGTGTCCTCCTACAAATTTTCATTAATTTGATTAGTAAACTCAATTTTGGCATGTTCAATATAAATCTTTAGTCAGTTTGTTTATGATATAACTTTTACTCACTTTGAATCGATATATAAACTGAACATTGAATTATCATTATCAYATTTTAGGGCTCTGGTTCGTTAGCTCCATATGGTACGAAATAATTTGAAGATTAAATTTCAGTGTATTAGCGAGGGAACTRTGTGAAAAATACCTGTGGGCACCTGCCAAAATACCACTTGGTGATTCCTTCGCTTTCAAGCGTACAAAAGCGACACTGATTAGCTTAAGATTAAAATGTAACATTTGCCAGTAACTATTTATAATCATGTATTGACAAAAATTGAATGTGTCGATATTTTAATCTAATTAAACAGGGGTTATAACGGATAAATGAATGCCACTCTCTTATACATCAGTTAAAATTAAGAATAACAAAATAATTTCCCATTGAACTTCTTAAGCTTTAAATATTTGTCCATGGCTTAGTTCATCTCCTTAGATTACTACAGGGTGATTTTTTGAGTATGGAATTATTACTTTCGTTTATTAACTGACAAACTACTCTGTGGCCGGTATGAGAGCGTCAACTAAATATCTATTTACCAAATCAAATTTAGGTATTGTATGCCTGCCAATGAAATTCCTGGTCATACATTTCTTTTGATGGATTCGTAAAAAAATTCACACCAACTAATTATGCTTGGTACAATTTTCTAGAAAATGTAAAGAGAGTTATATTGTAGAAATATTGATCATCARGGAGGTGTTTTCCTTGCCTAGTTCAAAAAACCCTATAAGATCCGATTACAATCACAGATGTCCCCTTAATATGCCTTTTTGCACTCGTTTTTAASACCATCCAATMAAAACGTCACAAATCGCTCAGTTTCCGGCCACCGTTCGGGATTTCGGCTCGAGTAATCGCCTTATTACGTCGATGCCATTAGATTATGTTTATCCGTTGATACATCGCACGCTTTGACATGTCCTTATAATGTTGCCTATGAGTACGAGGACGGACATAATAGTAACGCTGTAATAGTAATCACGATAACAAAAAAAAAAGAAATAATTGTCATCCATTGTGATTGATACTGCAATAGCACTTTTCGCGGTTAGAAAAACAAGTTGCGCGAGGAAGCTGTAGTTTTGCACCAAAGCGAGGCAGAATCGGGCAACAACCCAAAAAGCTGTCATTTTTGGGCTTGTTTAATCTTTTGCAATKCCAAGAAAATAATTTTGATATTACTTGGCATTTTAATTCATTTGAGGCCTGCARCAAAATTATTGCCAGCTTTGGCCTTAAACTGCAAAGAGGTCTACTAATTTGCTGGGCAATATCCAGCGGTGCCATTCTCCGGCGACATTCTCTAGTACGAAGTTCGATGTATTGTGGTATTCCTTCCATTTTTTGAACGCCATTGTTAAAACAGAAAATCAAYTTGGATTTTAATTAAATAGTAAAGAAATCACGAATACCGATTGTGGGGATTATCCAAAAGGACTATTAAAAGGACGAGTTTGCTATTATAACTTTCTCAAGACAAGGKTGTCGCTGCCCACTTTGCTCTTTACGATTTTATTTGATTGAAATGATGTGATYGGTCAAATATTAATTTGGGATGGTTGGAGCAGAGATATTGGAAGTTCATGTCAATGCAGCCATTATGGGATGGGACTGACAYGGACCTTCTCTCACTGGGAATTTTATGAAGAAGTACAACGCTTTTCATTAGTGTACATCCAATATGGCTGCTAATGGTGCCTCTGAACCGTCAATTTTATTTTGGAGCTGATAACATATTATAATCATCTCTCACGCTTTATGAAAACAGCTACTTATTAACTAGAAAATCTCGYTTTGGTTGCTTGGATGATGTCAACAGCGCTGTTGAATACAAAGTAACTAATGAACAGTATTAAAGAMGTGAATCCTAAAATGAGAAAACAGCTGCCTGTACCGATATAACTCACTATTAATCCACCAATCATCTCTCCACAACCGTAACCCAATCCCCAGTGAACTCCATGTAGAAGYCCCTGCATCGTGGTCGCATTCCCATCGCWTGTCTTTTGACCAATATASGACAACATAGCCGACCATACAGCTGCRGAAGTTACYCCTGACAGTACTTCAAAGGGCAGAACTGACCATGGTCTTGACAAGAACCAGTATATAAAGCAACGAATGGAGTAACATATTAACCCCAGATACAGCACTCTTAGATGTCCTAATAAGGAAATAAGTCGCGAYGACAAAAAGTACATTGTAACTTCAGCAATGCAATGAATAGCTACAATAATRCAGAAGAGTTCTGGCGTCCCACCAATATCCTTCAAGTGCCAAAATAAAAACGTTTTGATAAAAGAAGCTAGAAATCCAAAAAAGAAAGCGTTATATAAAAACAAAAGGAATTTTAAATCCACAAACTCTTTGATGAATRATRSTTTTTCTTTAGTTTCTGTAGATTCKTCTGTTTTATTATCCAATGGAATATTTAGATCAATCTTTGTTGCTGTTACTAGTGCTAAGGACATAAGAATTGCAAACGAATAAAAACAAAGAGTATAGTTGATATCGGATGACTTTGTGAACGGACTAGGRCAATAATGAGTTGTCGAGACAAATGCACCCACAATAAACGCTGAAATGCCAAAGCCAAGCGAGCCCCACAAGCGCTGCGARCCATATTTATGACTTTGATCWCCAAGCTTCCTAACTGTGAAGGTATCTATAATAGTAAGTGCTGGGGCTGCCACGATGTTACCAAAAAGAAGRATGAAAAACAAACGAAARAACAAGTGGTTAACGTTCGTTGTTACTGGATTGGAATTTTCAAGGTTTAAAAATATCAAAGACCAAGGCTGGTCGCTTATGGATGACATGTAAAATGAGTATGAATGGCTGGAGAAGTTTGTCCATCCACTCGAAAGGTTACGTGATTGACTTGACGAGAACAATGTGAAGTTGACGGCTGCTGCTCGAGTAAGTTTGTTTTTGAAATTCTCCTGTTTTTCKGCGCAGATTTSTTCAGCAGGTGCAATAAGAGACAAGGAAAAAGTCGTTGATATACAGGCCACCAARGCWATGAGYAAAATCAGTTTACTTTTGTTGGWTTTATCGATTAATAATCCCCATAGTGGATTGAAGATAAAATTAACAAAGGGCCTCAAGCCCATTAAAATACCAACTTGACTCGGAGAAAGCATCATTTCCTTGAAATACAATGCCAAGTAGGGAATCAGCGATCCCCATGATGAAAAGTAAAAAAAATAAAATATCTTGGACGGGAGAAGCGATCGATTGACTGATTGACAACAGGCGGTATTATCAGATTCACTGTCAGTTCCAGTCTKCTCATTTTGCTCATCTTCCTTAGAGTGTTCCATGACGATCTCGCTTCTKTATTTTTCTGGTCTACATCCCAATATCTCACTACAAATTTCTTAGAAATAGCTTCAACTKGAAGTCACAATTCGTTCTCGCTTGTAGGAAAATATTCACCCAGATTGCATGAGGGGTCAAGTTGGACGTGGTAAATACCTGCCCTCTGCCACAGGCAACACGTGAAGGTTTTTTAGCATTTCGAGTTTTTCTACCTTCATGGCCATATTGTTATAGTATGTTTAGTGGCCTTGCCGACGCCATAGTACTATGCTAATGACCTTAATTATTTGCAAAAATCAAAATGATATTCCCAAAACATTTAGTAGTTTTAATTCAATACTCAAGCAATTTTTAGGCTTGTGTTAGGGTATGTATTTGGTATTTATTCTCGTTTTTATTATGCATTATTCATGATGCTTTACAGTAACAGAATGTCATTCTGAGTTTTACGAAACAACAAACAATCCCAACGCCTTATATCGGGTACTATAAAATGCCATCTGATTAAGGACATAAATTGCTGTCTAGATGTGTTCGTTTGTGTTGCTTCTCTTCTATAAAAAGCAAATTTTCATCTTTTTAAAATATCGTCTGTGGTCATTCATCGGTTTTCATCTCGCATTTAAATAGTTATCAGCACCAAGATTGACTAGTAAATGACTCAGTGAGATCTCGACACCAATCGAGTAATAGAGTAGTTTAGATATAATTGTTTATTTATTGTAAGCGCTTTTCCTAACAATAGCAATAATCTTCATCACTTTCCTTCTACTCAGAGTCAGCGGTTAACTCCATCAGAAAAATCGCAAAAACATATTCTTGAAGCCTGGGGAGAGTTTGTTGAGGCAGAGAGGGCATGGCACTAAGATCGTATGCTCTGTTTATAACAACAGATCTCACCAATCAACCTGCTAATTCACTTTTGTAGGACATAAGAGTCAATTAGATCAAAACAGGTGGCATTTCTTTAGTTAACCAATGATGTAATAAGCATTGCTCTGACAACCAAAACATCAATAGGCGCCCAGGAAAAGAGTTAAATTTTTAGCTCAAAGATTGGTGTTGCCACGCAAGTTATGACTGTTGGCGAAAAACAAGAAGAAAAACTTCAAGTAGAAAATGAACCTGATAATGAACATGATGAAGACGAATCACAATCGGAGGAAAACAACCAGTCATGCTGCACTGATTATTTGGCAAACGTGAACAGAGAGCGACTTGTATCCAAACTCTTCTATTTCTGTTTCTTTTCGGCGTTTGGAGCGTTATGGCCATACCTTGCGCTGTATTTCAAACAATTATTCATATCGCCTCGACAGCTTGGTATTCTAGTGTCTATACGATCATCTTTGCAATTTATTTTTACTCCGATTTGGGGAGCCTTTGCGGACAAATATCATAAAAGCAAATGTGTGTTATTGATTGGTTTATGTTTTTGGTTCATATCAACAATATCCATTGCTGTCATTCCTAGTCATGAGAAGCCTACTGCTTGCTATAAGATGAACTCAATAACTCTTTACGCTAACACTTCTGCTAACATATCTATCGCATCACAGTTGGAGAAGCAGAGATCAACCAGCGGTCATGGAAACGCAAGATTAATAGACCATTACATTCCTTGGGCGCTGGGATTTTTCCGATCTTATGAACCCGAGGAATCAGTGACATTTAAAGAAGTTCCTTTTCCTAACTTCAAAACTCATCCGTCTCCAGAACCAATTGCGGATTCTTCCAGGCTGTTTGTTAGCCTTTTGTCAATCACTGTAGTAGGCGTTATGTTCGCATCACCTACACAATGTCTCGCAGATACTGCTACCATTCAGTTACTGGGGAAGGATACCCATGAATACGGCAAGCAAGCCATGTGGGGATCTGTTGGTTATGGACTGACAGCTTTCGTTGTAGGTGCTTCAGTAAGCGGACAAAAACATTATAATCCATGCAGCAAGGAGATGAATACTAACTTTATTCCTTGCTTTTACGTTTTCGCGGTGTATATGCTGTGCGCAATCGCAGTGGCTACTCGCTTCCAGTACCAACCCTCAAAAGGCGAGGGAAAATGCAAGCCAAGTATTTTAGCAGGCCTAAAAATTCTTAAAAACTTTGAATACGCATTTTTTATGTTTGTGGTATTCTTCTGTGGAACAGCGACGGGTTTTATTCAGACTTTTCTATTTTGGCACTTGAGAGAACTCGGTGGAGAACAGATTCTTTTTAGCTTGATAACCATCACTAACAGCACTGCTGAAGTGTTGACGTACTTGTTTTCAGATCGATTCTTGTCGCATATTGGACCTTTCAAAGTGATATATGTTGGACTGGTCTGCTATGCTTTGAGATTCTTTTACTACTCGTACTGTAGCACACCTTGGTTGTTTTTACCTATTGAACTTATTCAAGGCATTACAACGGCAGCCATTTGGTCGTCGTTTGTCTCCTATGTTGGTTCCAAGCCGGGGCTAGCATCGACATTACAAGGCCTTGTCAGCGGRTTTTACACTGGCCTCGGCTATGCCACGGGAGGATTTATGGGCGGTCTTATGGTGCATATATTTGGCTCTAGTACGTCGTTTTTAGTATTTGGTGAAATAAGCCTAATTGTGCTCTTTATGTTTATTATTGTAAACAATGTACGAACCCCAGACAACCAACCTTTACCAGTAACAGTACTAAAACAAACAAAAGACTACGTTCCAAAGACAAACAATGAAAACTAGGGTTACTCATAAATGCATGCGTACATATATTATATACATGTGCATGGGGCAACGGTATAGACTCCTTAGATGTGATTTCAGAGCAGCTTCATCTTGAAAACAAAACAAGAGATTTAAGYTCTCTATCAAGSCAGAATCCATTGTTTTGTCCTAGATGAAGATACATTYTTGTGCGCAACAAGGGGTCTATACGAAATGTTTTTAATATTTTTTTATGAAAATATAATTTCAAGATAAATCGGAATAAAGAAGTTCACAATTTTCRTGGATGACTATTTGTAAATAGAGTCCGAAAAAACTATATTTGCATATATGCATGGATTCATAGTCAGTGATATGCATGCAACACCATGGGGAGATTTTCTTTGTGCAAGGGAGTCGCCTCCGGAATCCATGGCCAAACGTGAAAGAATGCTAGGATCTATAGCTAGCTATATACTGTTGTCTATAATTTGGTCGTGCCCTGCATGTTATATACATGTCTTCATATAAAAGAATATTTTATTCGGCATATCAAGTAAAAACGAAATTGTAAATGCATGTCAAAGGATATGTGATTAAYTTAAAAGTTGATACTATTTATCATCATCGATTGTCCGTTTGTCTTGGTGTGAAGTTGTTTCTTGTACAGCATTTGGAGCTACATGTTTCGAAACTAGTACCCAGTCGCTTTTGACGCTCYTTTTAAGAGTGCAGTGCATCAAGGGAAGGGCATTGAAGTCCTTCTCGTCAATCCCTTCGAGCTTAAGCGAAAAACAAAACAAAAAACAAAAATAATTCCCCGACAGTCCAAATAATGCGTAAAATGATATAATCTATCCAAACAATTTCATACCAAACGTTGACCAAACAACGCGCCCTTAGCGAAAACGATTGGAATTCATGGTGGCGATAAATGCTATTATCCTATGACACACTATGCTTGATAAGACATTTTTAGAGCGATAATAGACTAAATTTATCCAACGCAGCATAAGTCACATATAGTTATCAGCCTACATATTATTTCTGCCTGTCTAGTCGAGACTTCAAGTTCCGCAGCTAGGAAAAAAAAGATACCGGGACTCTCTTTTCTGAGTATTGGTGTCATATTCGATCATATTGTAATCTTGAGAACCATTTGTCCTTTTAGTAATCATTTCCTTTTCAAAATCCCTTCTAGTGTTTTTTTTGTTTTTGTTTTGTTTTTTGTATTTTTTTTAATGCAGTTGTTGCWACGAGTTCCCCGAAAAGTATTTTTTCGCCTTTTTCCTCCCTCGCTTAAGTCGTTGGTTACGATCACCTATAACTATATGTTACGGTTTAGAACAGTTACTACCCAGGATGGTTGATTCTAATGATTAATTCTTACTTAAAGTAACACTGGCACTCCTCTTAAAGATTTAGTGAGCTTTAGAAGTGGAGGGGAATATATATATTTTAATCACCAATCGAAAAACAAATTTTTCTCACAGTTCAAGTCTTACACTCCAACAGTAACTTGCATGGGGGGAAGGAATTAGTAGCCAAAATACAAAAGTAAAATAAAAGCAATGTAACTAATTATTTTAGAATAAAACCTTATGGAATATATTGAAGGTACGTAATTAAACGTAAACGAAGAAATACATTGAAATTTATTTTTATTTTTTAATATTTGATAGGTTAGAACAACTTATGTATTTCACCCCTCCCCCCGTAAGTTTTTCTAGCTGCGTCATATTGCGTTGGTGGGGGAGTCCCGGATTTCTGGGAAGCTCAAGAACGTGTCGGTTTGCATTTCCTCTCGCTTTGAATAGCCATGTACCCAAATCCTCTCCCTTAAACTGCACTGGCAAACTAAAGCATAGACTTGGACGATTTTATCTAGATTCTAATCGACTTTTGTGTTTCTGGAGACAACGATTCGCTTTATTATTAGGTGAGTACATTATTCGATCCAAGATGGCGGGCCATTATAGAATGCATCGTATGATCGATATCTGCATCGTATGAATGAGTCGTAACACATTTTGAGAGACTTTGTACTTATCGAAGGTTATTTCGTCGTTTAATACAACTGTACTGTTTTATCTTAAGACGTTCGGGAGGATTACTAAGGGATATCATTCACTTATGTTTTCGCTCGGTCATTTAACGAAACGGGTGTAAGTTTTTACATTTTCTACAAATTATCCTAATGAATCGCGATAAAAAAGTGCTGACAAGTAGAAAAGTTATCCAATTTTTCATTGGCTACTTTTTKCTTCTAACTTACGTTTATGTAAGGATGTGTAAATCTACCATAAACATACTAAACTGTGTGTTGACAATGTTGACATTGTATGTAGACGGTTGTATAAAATGCATTGTCTTATTTTTAGTGATAACTTATTTAAAAGTTCACATTAACCCTGTAAAATTTAAGTAAACTTGCACAGTAAAATGCAGTAAGAAACGCTTTTTTTATTCCTACATCTGTAGGTCCTTTTCATGAATAATTCAAAAGAAAACAGTAAAAATAGCWCCAGTATCATTTCCGGGGTTATTTCAAAAATGTATAAAAATCTTTAATACCTTTAAAAGTGAGATACAGTGTATAATCTTTTATAATATTTTCAGATATTCTTTTACGATATTGCATAGCACATCAACAAGGATGAGTATTGTACATGATGGCCCAGCGCCAGAAGGCATTGTCCAGGTACCACATCATCACCATCATCTKACAAGACGGAAYCCACTTTCGATATACAAAGCCTATGGGGGAAAGTGGAGATGCGATAACTGCAACACAGAAAATCTGCCATCTCAGTTCCCATTTCACTGCCATGAATGCAGCTATGACCTCTGTGACAATTGCCAAAGTGGAGTCATGCTCTCAGATGTTCATGTTCATCGGTTATATAACATTAATCTAGCTCARAGACAAAATCGTAGTTGGACATGCTCTGTCTGTAAGAAYAGGGGACTAGAAATGGGACAAACCAACGCTGGACATTGTGCCTTGTGTGAATTCTACATCTGCCGCTTCTGTGCAACGGAAATGAATCATCCCRTTCATCAACATCTTCTAAAAACAGTTAACACAGAAATCATTTACCCTCACACTAATGGCAACTGGGGCTGTGATGTTTGTGGCAGAATGAGTCGATTCAATGAAAGGTTAGCTTCAAAAAAAAAAACAAAAGCCTAGTATACCCACATGTATCCAATAACCTGTGCAATCATTTCTTTTGTCTTAAAAATGATCACTTGTTGAAACTGATGCTTTCTGATTTGTTTAAAGCTCTATTTTGATTGCAGGTTCTTTGATGCATGTGTGCCTTTAAGTGCTCCAAATTTTAGCCCTTTTTTCACAGCTTCATGCTTGCATGCATGAATGTCATATGCAGTTTCTGTCAGAGCAGATTTTCTATGACTTGTACTTTGTTACTGAAAGAATGAGCTTGTACCAATACTCCTGGGAKTGTGCCTCATGGCATGATCAGTGCAAAAACCCTTAGAAAATGRTCACAAAATTTCCAAAGATTAATGGTTAGGATAAAATTACAGTATTCACAAGTTAGCTTACAGCATAAATTAATGTGGGGATTAAGTTCTTTGTCTTTAGTTTAGATATATATATGTATAATAATGAATTTAATCTTCATGATGAATCCTTTTCATATATTCACTAAAGACTGTCCTTTGTTATTTTACAGATATTCAAGGCATTGTGCTGCTTCGTGCGAATTTGATGTTTGTGCTAGTTGTGTAAAGGAATATACTGTACCCTGTCATAATCACCCCCTGGTCAGGGCCGATCCTAGTGTCGTGTACGAACGCTTCTCAGGCAACTGGAGATGTGATAACTGTGGATGTGTTTCGGCTTCCATGACCAATGACAAACCTTGGCACTGCTTGCAATGTGAATATGACCTGTGTAGTGACTGCATGAGGCAGATATGTCCTGATTTAAGTAAGTTGTAGTGATATTTTGACATTATTCTTATACTGTAGTGGTATCATACTTTTTATTATATTATAATTGGAACAGTGTATGATACTTTCTCAATTTAAGTAAGTTGTAGTGATATTTTGACATTATTCTTATACTGTAGTGGTATCATACTTCTTTTTATTATAATAATTGGAACAGTGTATGATACTTTCTCTTCCATACACTTTTCTAATTTATTGATATACAAAATTGGTCAGTAAATACACACTACCAATCACTACAGTACTATGTTATTATATTTCACGGTGCAAACTGGCTATTTTGATATCTATATTTTAATAAATATCCACAAAATATGTATGTTTTTAGTGTGTTCAATATTTGACAATAATAACTAAGAAATATATCATTGCATGTCCTTGGTACATCTTGTATTGAAATATATTAAATTATGCTATGTTTACTGACAGGTTCACAGTTTGATGTCACTGGTCCTTCTATCAGCGGCCCTAGAAGTAAGTCATGTGAAGTATTGTTGTGTTTTAATGCCTTTTTCACGTTCAATAGAGTAYTTTCCATAGACCTTGTTTGTTAAAAACGCGWAAATTGAAATCCCTTAGTGTGGTAACACTGAAAGCCTGAAAAAGAKTGCTMAATAGAGCTTAGAGCGGRTTTCGTATGACTGGGAAAARAACATGGTACTTTCGCGCCGTGGTCGTACCGTGCCGTAACGATGATGCATTGTTAAATCTTTATTTTTATTTGGAATCCTAGAAGACGATGTTCCGTGGCCGTGACCGAYCCGCGCCGTTGCACAGTCATACGAAATCCCCTCTAATAGTATTAAGTAGACAATTAAGGCATTAGCATAATTTAGTATAATGTATTAACTATTTCATGATTTCATGTGTCTGCACCGACTAGCTGCCACTACTTTTTCCACTGTTAAATATATATCTAGTGAACTTTACTAAACGTTGAATTCCAATGTCGAAAACATCACATGTTTGATTAGCCAAATGTTAGAAAGAAAAGTACCGTTAAACCAATGTGAGCGGATTAATTATCTTCGTAAATAAATAGAAAGGTCAGTGCAATTTTGACCATTGAATATTCTAACTTTGATATGGCATTTCAGGTACGTTCTCCCACAATGCTATGATCAGTCCACATCAGGAACGACTGAACCATCGCCTAGACGAACCTAAAGAACCTGTTCATGTAGCGGCAACCGACAAAGGATCAGCTGTTGAAAGCGTGGAAGCTGATGACGGCGATGAGTGCATAATATGCTTAGAAAATCCCAAAAACGCGACATTAATCCATGGGGATACTGGCCATCTGTGTTGCTGTTGGTCATGCGCACAAGTGTTGAAGAAACGCGGTGACAAATGTCCAATATGTCGGCAGCGTATTGACCACGTCATCAAACAGTTCAAGGTTTAAAAATATGCACACAAAACGGATGTGTGTAGAATAAATGATTTAAACAATAAGCAATAACAGTTTATAATGCTTCTCCAGGTCATACAAACAAACAAAAACACGATAAAGAAAATAAGAAAACGGGAGCCAAAAGCAAGCAAAAATTAGAGATAATGTATAAATAGCGTTTATCTGCATTGAGTTCTTTATCAAATGTAAGTAGCAATAGTAATCACAAGGATGTAATTTTGTATTTATAAATCTCTATCTTATGGATACCATCCATATATTGAATAACGAGAATCCTGTGGATGACTGCATCTGGCAACGTAGTCGGGGGGGGGGGGGGGGGGCTTGTAGCAGCGCTAGCAGTTTACACGGCAACGTGCTTGTACTAATTTAACAGGGTTTTTTTCATTGACATTTTTTGAAATTATAAATTTAGTTATAAGGTAATATTAATAGAATATGCTATGACTATTGCTCTATTTAAATTATTGTAAATAATATTGATTACAAACACTAAACGTGTGCAACATAAATATCACTAAATACTGCTAAATTATACTAATTCTAATTGTTTCTATTGTTCAGTTAGAGTGGTTTTYATTAACCCGTGAAACACACGTTAGCGTATTTATCGCTATTACACTTTGGCTCTTTTGTTTTTTATTGTCTCTACGCGACTATTACGATCTATTACTCACTCTAATTATTACACTTTGTTTCACGGGTTTATGAAAACCACAACTATTTAGTAGTAATTGGTGCAAAGTGTTTCACACTGATCTTTGGTCTTTGTACTCTWCCAAGAARGACTCGRYTRWWTCTCKAGTAACCTTGGCCTGAATGCCCACCAGTCACCTCGAGGGAAGAAAACTAGTGTAAATAGATGTTTTTGATATAACTTATATAATAGCCGTAGGGTATATATAGCAAATTTGATGATTCGTGTCGAGACTGGAATTACAATGGTCGTAATTYTTTCGATACCAGGCGAGGTTTCGTGACGCACCCTGTCTTCTTCGAACCACAGTCACAAAAAAATGACATGTAGCACTATTGTATGAAATAAATTGTAATCTAATTCATTTAAAATACAAAAGAAAATTAACTCGTGTGTTGGAATTTGATACTAGAGTGCGCGCACTAAATGCGTGAAATATAAATACTACGAAATAGGTGATAAATTATACAAATTCCTTTGTTTCCTATTGTATAATCAACACTATTTAGTAGTAATTAGTACTATTTGTTTCACGCTTTAAGTGCGAGCACTCTATAAGGGGTTTTAGTAAGTATTAGAGTGGCTTTTCTTTACCTGTAAACGAGTGATTATAGACTTCATACTCTTTGTCTTCATTTGCTCTTTGTCAACTAGTAAGAAGTGTACTTCTCATAAATGTGTTTCRCGGTTTTATGGTTTTGTTCCTAATTTTACAGAATTTTTTCGAAAACCTGTAGCATTGGACACTTGGGAAAAACGCACCTTGCGTGCCAGCATACCTATATGTTACGAAAAAATGGCGGTTAATATGAAAGGCAGATATATAAAACGTTTTCGTACATGCTTTAGTAGGGTGTTGAGCATCATACACTATGAAAAGGAACACCTATATTATTGTATTTGTCTTTACAGTATTTTACTTTTGCGATGTTTGTGCCCCTATTTACCGTACGTCTTCCGAGTGTGCGCAGTACGTTTCTCCACAGTGTCGTCATAGCTTTGTAAGTCTTTTAATATTGACATCTCTTTTAAAAGACAGCTGTTTCAGTAATTTAACTTAGACGTCGATATCCAGATGCGATGTTAACGTTTCTAACGAGGTAGTCGAAGTAAAAATACATTGAAAAGACATTAAATTACAAACATCGAGTGTTTTGTTTTTCTTGTCCTATATATCTACGCTCAATGCACCCTCAAAAATCGTATAGCCTGACTTTGGCTGAAAAAGTCATGATTATGTTCAATAGGCAAAGCCATGCTATTTCCAGAACTTCATATTATTACTCCACAACTAACCATATTCTGACGTCACCCGGGGCATTTTTGGATATGATTTTGTTGACGTCACGTCTCCGACGATTCAAGTACTTCATGGCATCGAAGTTTCTATAAATTTCCAATGAAATAACTAGTATTCATAAAACGTTATACCATTTTGTCACCATCTTGAATTCTGTTTTTTTTTGGTAAAGTATGTTCTAGCCTATAGGGGCATTGAAAACAACGGCTCTATTTGTATAAATATCTCAAGGCTGCTTTGGCTCCAAAATAACTGAAACGACACATATCTATTGCTTGAGATGTTTCATTTTATTTACCAGAATCAAGTTAAACTTTGCCTTTTTATTTTCTATRACTTCRTGGCCAGACGCGGGCAAAAGATGCGTCAAATACCATGCATATATTTTTAACTGAAATGATTTATATATACTCTGAACTTTAAAAGAAAGTCAAATATAATAGATGGTTCAAGTCAAAGTGGAAATTTATATCCAAAACGGATGCGGTAGTAGAAAGGATTTGGTAATTATTGGGTTTATTGGTCTTATAGCAGTAATGAATGAATTATCAATCTTCKATRTRTGTTSYAAAGTAATTAAGGAAATGAGTGTCGAATATAAAAAGAATAGTGGCGACTAAATAAGCCATATGGGGACATGTGTACGTGTTTAGGSGTTGCGCGGAACGACTTYCAGACATCTTTTAGTCGAAACATAATTATGACTCAATTTTGGGGAGTAARTAAGGCCAAACGGTGTTAAAACGCTTGTCCATYACCGCTGYGGTGATAATTCGATTCCCGGTCTGGGACTATGTCTGTGATACGCTGGTTTTCCTCACTCAGTCAAATGCTGTACGGAGTGTTGTGTGYTAAAACATTTAATGTAGTGGTGGTCAGTGCGAGACTGTCTGATACATAAAAGCAGCCACTGACCAAGGAGACTCGGTGACGACTCCCAATATCTAGACGTAAAATGTGTATTTAATTTAAAATGGCTACTGTATTGGTAATTTTGCAGTATCTATTTTGCAAGCTATATGTTGCAATTTCGCTGTTTTTCGTTTCGTTTTTTTTGGGAGGGGGGGGGAGAGGGAAGGGAAGGGTGTTGCTTTGTTTTTGTTTTTTTTTGTTTTTTGTTTGACAGATTCTATTATAAGACATTTGTTTATTTTCGGGAACCCACAGTCTGTCACTTGCTTCGGGGAACGAGAAATAAGTCACGGAAGATTCCCTGGCCGTGGGTTCTCAATTTGTTTTATAAAATGCGGTGTTGTTTCCACTGTGCCTAAATGACTTCTCGACTTCACTAATCAACTCTTTTTATTGGCTTAGCTTGTTTCCGACCTGAGGCTGGATTTAGCTTCTCTAGCGGAGGCATAAGATCTTCTCAGTCCTACAACCCATGCACTCTAAGTAGATATCTATTGCATATATAATGAGGCAACCATAGTGCCTTTCGGTCGTGCAGTTCGTTCTCCAATTCGCCGATCTGTCCTGCAATAAGTAAGAAATGTACAGAGCCACAACTTTGGGGTTTTACTGTGGACAACAAACATGGCAGCCAAAGATGAGATTTGAAATTCGCTCAAAACTAACCAGAACTTTAAAAACGTTTTAGTCTTGAATAAGGCTCACGGATCAGCTATTTATAAGCTCGGTAAAATTGTTGAAATGATTTTCTTCGCAAATAACTATAGTTGACCAAGAAACAGAAACATGATCGCAGRTTTTTAGAAGAACTTTCATTTTTTCACGCTCATCGCACTTCTCAGCAAAGTTTCCCTACCAATGAACTTTTTTTATATTAAAGGCTCAGTCAGCTACCTGAATCAGGCTACTTAAGTATCTACTAAAAGTGTGCTTACCCGATTTCTTAWTTAACCTTTTCTTTCGGCAAGGTGTGCTGCTCAGTCGAGATCTCGGACCGACATCCGATCATTAACCACCTGATATGTTTTTTTATAAAAACAGGCGTAGTCCTTTAGCTACCAACAAAACGAAAACTCATTTCTTGAGTCTTCAAATCTTGTTTTATCATGGGACAATTRTTAGATAGCCATACGCTTTTAAACTCCGTCCAACATTTGATGTTCCATCAGTGTTCCATCCAACAACTTACAACACCATGGCGATCAGGCGTCAAAACAGTTATGCCTGATCCAACATTCTCGTTAACCATGGCGTAGCGGAAATTTTTTAAGAGTCAATTTTAACTCTTCCGCTTCTGCTTTTACGCTAAATATGAATGGTCATTGTTGATGAATGTTCTTTGMTGCCCACGTATAAAGTCTATGCAATTAAAAAAATCTTGCAAAATACTGTATTGTACTTTGCCGTTCTTCCTCGCCCATCATAAAATATTAAGCAATGATTTTTTTTATTTTCTTGATCGCCCTTGTTTTAATATTTTTCTTGGCGTTTTCATTACTTCATTGGTATTTTTTTTATAACTGATTCGTGATTCTTGTTCTACAGACTCAGGTTTYACGAGGTCTTGAATACTATAATGCTTTAATATTACACCTATTTATCACAATACTCTATTCCTCCACGCCATCTTCACGACCTCCACATTTGTCARTACTGACACTGAGCCATTTGCAGATGTTCATGAACTTCTGGTTTGCTTTTAGAATTCCTGTTTAGCAAGCATTCCCATTTCGATTCATAGCCAAATATTTTGATTCCTTAACCGTAAATTAATCGAATAACAAACAGATATACTTTCCGATTGAAAATAAAACAAACCAAACAACGCGGATCAAGTTCTTTTAAAAACGGTGTTGATATCAATACGACTTAAAACAACAATATTGAWCTCCACCGTACGAAGACTCAAATAAATTGCCTTTATGTGCTCAGTTTCTCTGAGTGCGCAAATACAGAAGGCCGGTATATATTATGCATAAATGAAATGTTATTTTGGCGTACGATGAAGGTGTCAGTAGTGTGTGGGGCTGATGTTTTTTTTGCCTAATGGTTGTTCCTGTTTTACCAAGTTCGGATGGTGATTATACTGTCAAAACGACCGGTCTCAGTGCCGTTGGCGTCAATCGATTGGTCCATTCCACGCAAATAACTGTCATTGACAAATCGAGACGTTTCATTAACTCGAGGTCCGCCTTAAAGGGGGTTCAATTAAAACTACCCAGCAAATTATGACTTACTAGTGAATGGGATAAAGCTATCGATAAGACGACGTTCAACCATCAAAGGAAAGACACTGCTGTTRATTGGTAAGTGTGTTCTTGAATTCTTATAGTATTTTCCCTTGAGAAACGGCATTGGCAAATACAAGGGTATAATTAGACGAGAATCTGTCCATATCGTTCATATCGATTGGCCCATTGAAATATGGGACACTTCTCCAGTACTAGGAAAAGTGGYTGCCATCAGAAACACACCTATTGTTGTTGACTTAACATTGAAACAATCATAAATTTACAGATACAATGGATGACAAAACTGATGACGGGGGCGATTCAAACGGCCAGCTCCCTTTTTAAACTCAATTGTTGGGCTTATTTTATCTGTCCTTTGTTACCAACTCAAACAACGTCAGAAAGTAGCAACAGTAAAATAGGTAGATTAATTTAAATTTTCCTACTTCTTTTCAGAGCAAAAAGATTAGCAAGTACACTAGTCGTAGCATGGCTACAGTACAAAATCTCCGGTCAATTTTCATAATTGTCGTGTGGTTTAGTCTTGCTTTGGGTAAGTTAGTAACTTACTAACATATCAGTTAACATCAGTTATGTCTCATACAGTATATAATTCATGCCTTTAAAAAAGATCCTTTCAAAACACCGAATTTCTGCTCGTCTCATTTGCACCGTGCGACTYACTAGTTCTTGCGGCCTTTTCTTTTAGTTCATTAGAAGACAAACCACGCTCTTTCCGTTTTACAATTCTGTATCAATTAGAACTTGTTTTTTTGACAACTTTGAGCACTCGTTAGAAATTAGCCGAGTAACAACAACCAAAAAAAAAAAAGAAATAGGGCCAGCTGTTTATTCTAGCCAGCTTTTTGGTAAAGTATCAATGGAATTTCGAGAAAACACCAAACCGGCGTCGCCCATTCGCAGTGCATTCTGGTAGTTGTATCAAAATGACGTCATCCCTTTTATCCTTTAACGATCAAACTACCCACATTTAAGACGCCAAGCAGGCGTTTAATTGAGCATATTTAAAAYGTATAAATGGCATTTTAAGAGTTGTCTTGCTGTTAAAAATGTATTAATTCATGCTTATTACTATATTAAATTAAGATATCTAAAGTGAAGTGCCGAACTTCACGGCTACTTATCAACGGGAGCRCTAAGTTTGATACAGACAACACTGAAGCTTCTAGTATTTCACCTTCTCTAATATATTCGCTTCTGGTATATTCTCTTTATTAAAGCCATCACGAKCAATACAATGAAAAGTTCCCATGCTGTTTTAGGCAAGGAATTTGATAAAAAAATCACCCGTGTTTAATAAAATTTACCAAGAAGATAATTGTCAAGCAAATTTAAAAGAGTAACGTGCATGATTATTTATTTATTTTGTTAGTGTCGAATAGGCCTTTTGCATGAAACGGTCACATGGTACAAAATCCACCAAACTGTGGATGGTAAAAGAATGTAAACAACCTCAAAAACAAAAGGAACGCAGCCCGTCAAGCTTGACTTTTTGTTTTGAACATCCCAGTGGGTATTTGCCATCAAGCATGGTGGATTTAGTACCATGGGATTGTTTCATGCAAAACTAGGGCCTATYCTGTTGGTTTGCACGAGAGGATATGGCGGGAAAGCTTCTTTCTTTCTGAATTGATAATAATGTCATAACAAAATACCCGTGTTATTCGTTATTAATTTATTGCGCATGTTCTTATGTGATATGATTTCTGTTCAGCATATCCCACATAGCTTAGTGAACGTCTTCTTGTATCCAGTAGTTAAATCACTTATCCGTAGTTTCTAGTAAAGCTGGCTTATTTTSYAGTCGATTTGAAGTTGTCAAAGGTTTCTGTTGTCAGTCAGTCCACTTGAAGACGCATTATCTAYCGTTTGCGCATGCTCGACTAGTGGCTATTTMTTGTTAATTWAACAAAATTTGTTAACATGTTATTTGCTTCAGAGCTGAAYTATTATTAAGAGTATGAAGGAGAAAACAGTATGTTGAGAAAGACATGCAGACTAACTTCCCCTGACTCTGTTTTTAATCGTTGTCAAATGATTGACAGGTCGACCATGGGAAGACAGCGAAGCAAGCCAACTAACAGAAACTCAAAAGATTTCAAAAGCAACATTTTTCCAAAGGAAAGGACCTGATGGAGAGACAATTTGCTTGTTTAGCATAAAATATAACGCTTTTGTCTGCACTAAAGGAATACCCCAAAGTSCAAGCTGTGATAGTARAGATCCAAATTGCCGACTTAAGACAGGACCCAATGATGTCCAAACCATGCAAGAATTCTGCCAACAACAGCAAAATGGATTTTGTGGGAATGGGCCGATTGGACGAGAGTTACGAAGGGTTGTGGCTCCTTGTAAAAAGGATGGCATCACTTGCTTATTTTTCAAGCGAAGACAGAATAATTTAAAGAAAGCATCCGTTAGGAAAGGTTTTGGTTGCAATCGAATTGATGATCCAACTTGTTTACAAAGCTCAAATGAGCCTGCTAATTCCAAGGTAAGTGTTCATACAATTAAAAAAGAATTTCACATTATGGAATAGTCTGAAAATATATCCAGATTAAAACTTCTAGAACCTTGAAACATCATGGAAGATACAAATACACCATAGAATATCTTTTGAATTTGCCTAATAGGCCGATGAAATTTGTCAAACTTTTGCTGTGAGGGATGGGACATCTATTATGTCATATATTACCATATATTACCATATATTACCCATAATGAAATATTGCTGGTTTTTTTAGACAACAACAAAACGACAGAAGAAGATGACTTGCAAGTATCATAAAAAGGACAAGTTCTGCCGTTGGCGACCACAGCCCATGGCTATCAGGTCTCATTTACCAATAAACTTTAATTGACTGAACAACGACAAAAAAAACCTGCTGGCTGCCTCGAGAGGTAAGGGCTGATATGATTTTCAAATGAGATAATAAGTTCAAGAAATGATATATTTATGTTTGTTGTCAGATGTACAGTTTTGCTCGCACTGAAGAAGGCGGCAAAAAAAAAGCAAAACTGCTCTTGACTTGAAAGGTAACCGAGTCTTTGTATCAAAACAGTAGGTTTGTAATGGTAGACAMCTCTGAATGATTGATAGGAACAAAAGGTATCTATTCCTTCTGGCTCAGCTCGTGTCTCGCTTTGATGCAAAGGCTTGGCTACCTTTCAAGATGGCGCTGGTACAGGTGAGCTGGCTATTAGTTTAACTTGTTGTTTGTTTGAGTAAATAGCGCTAGAACTTGTAATTGGAGTATTATCTTGTGTGAGTATTCACACCGGCCGGATCATCACCTCATCTTAGTTGGTAGTAGTAGACTGGTTTACAATGACAATATTTTTGGCTTGTATTTTTTTTTTAGGCTAAAGACATATCATCTCATCTTTCCAAACTGATGACGACTTTTGACAATCTTGTAGTATTTTATTGGATTGACTCAATTAAAAACCCTAAAGTTCAAAAATGTCTTTAAAGTATGAAGCCTGCTGAATACGAAATTGACGAAATTGTAGCAATGACGACAACAGCATGAAATGAAATCTCTTTCAACTTGTTGTGTTTGACACGTATTAGCGAATGACCTGTTGTCCTGCTGTAATCTCGACCGTGTTGAACGTACTAAGCCTTTATGCTACTATTGTTAGCCGTTGTTAAGGGTTTATTGGATTCTCACCCACAACGCCATATTTGGCAATTGCATTGTTTTCAAGTTTGCATGCGCATTCTGCGTGTCTTTTGTCTTCTGGATAATTTTATGTTGGAAGAACCTTGTAGTTACAGTTTTCAGCGACATTTTGAAAGGTAGCCGGGCCTTTGCATCAAAGCGAGACAGGAGCTAGTGAGTCTGCAATGGTATTATATTTTTTAGTTCACACCTAAGACAATTATTCACAAGCTCAACTCCTGTCTCGCTTTGATGCAAAGGCTCGGCTGCCTTTCAAGACGGCGCTGGGAATGTGCAATGGAGTATTGATTACTCGATGAGTGGTTGGCATGGAAACAGCATCACCCTGGTGGAAGTTCATTTTCAGTAGTAAACTCAAATGGCATCGCATTTTTCATATTTTTATTAAAGTTTCGATAAAAAAGCTGTAATCACGACGTTGCACGAATGTAAGAAATTAAAATATCAAAATACAAATACAGTCAACTCTCTCGTAAGCGACCACCTCGGGATCGGGAAAAGTGGTCGGTTACGAGAGATGGTCGCTTACGAGAACGTTAACACAGGAAACCCAAACAATGATAATCGCAACACAGGAGGCCCAAATAGTTCAAAACACGTTTATTTCAATGTATAAAATCTTTAATCAATTATACTGCTTTACTAATTATTTTATCATAATCATGGTTAAAATGTGTAAAGGACACTTAACAGTGTGACAACAGTATCTAAAAGATAGTCTACGGAACAATAACGATAGTCATCTCGGGCAACGTGCATAATGTATAGTACATGTTTTGTCAAATACAGTTACGTGAACGTTTAATGTGTATTAAAAATTATGTGATAGATGCTTGCTTTAAGCTTTTCTATTCTATTCTATTCTATTCTATTCTATTC